AAATAATTTGAAAATACATCCTGCAGGAGAAAACATTTGCCAACTATTCATCTGAAAAGGACTAATATCCAAAATATATATGAAATTCCAATGTGAAAACTCAAGAACAATTAAAGCTGGGAAAATTATTTGAATAGACATTTCCCATAAGAAGACACAGGGAATGCAGGATCCAGCATAGAAGAAAATAAAGGATTCCAAATGCACTTAGCCTCTTGGTACCTGTGTTCTCACGTATTATGTCCTCTTCCTTCTAGTCTCCCTTCCTACTGCTCTGCCTCAAATGCTTACTGTGCATTGTCTGTCTACTTTCCTGTACAGGTCAGGGATGGAGGAAAGGGTTAAATACATAGAAAAAGAACCCAAGCAACCCCTGAAGATTCTGGAGTTCAAAAAGGAAACAACAGTAACAAAAAACCATTAAGGCCCACAGTAACAAAGAAAGCCTCCCTAGCCTCACCAGTGTTTTGTTTTGCTTTGGTCCAGGGTTTCTCTATACTGTATCATCTGTCATCTTGCTATTTCCATTGTAGGTGTTAATGACATTTTTATTTGACTGAACTGAAAAATCTTTCAATATCAGTGGTCTCATATTCATTTCTTTGTATTCTATTTGGTGAATAATATAGAGAAAGTAAAATGAGAAAAAAAAGTGGTTTCTGTGTTTAGCCACTGAATTTCGAGGAGCATTATGAAATTTACAGCATTATGAAATTTACAGTATGAGTTAACTGATAAATTCCTTGAGGGCAGGAAGTGTTTCTGTCATTCATTTTTGTGACTGCAGTATCAACAACCATGCCTGGAGCATGAGAGGGCTCAAAAAATGTGAGTTAATGAACAGAATAGATACGATGATTGTGGACTACTGCTAGATTGAACCTATTGCCAGAAATCAAATCTCACCACTACTCCTTTGTCCTTGTCATCTCACCTGATGATAATACTGTAATCTCTCAAGAACATAGTGGAAGAGCACAGGCTTGTTCTGACCTATTTCAGGCCCTTTTTTCCAGATGGCTTTTGGAAGAGTCACCTTTCCCATTTCCCCAGGCTGGTTTCTCAAGAGCAGGTTGATGCCCTGGATGGATATTTTGTAGTTTCTGGGTCACTCTTATGTGTGTGTGCATCACTATGAGCTATTTATTGTCTTAAAAAACTAAGAACTTTTCCTTCTTTTGACACAGATTGGAAATTAAGCAAGAAGAAAGAACCAAGTAAAAAGGGTCCCTGTCCCTTTCAGGGTTTGGCACTAAACCTGTGATGAGGCCCACTATAAATATTAGGGTCAGAACAGAAGCTTCTCTTTGCCCAAATACATCAAAGGTCCAAAAATAACACTGAGTTCTCATGCACATAAAACCACATTAAAAGATTCCAGGGAGTAGCACTAGAGAGTCAGTTGGACTAGAAATCAGAGCTTTATGGCTATGCCAACTTGAATTCAAACTCAAACCCGTTTCATCACTTATTGCCTTTTTCTTATGAATTAAATAGGTTACCTTACTTTCCTGAATTCAGTTGCAAACAAATCTACCGTATAGAATTAATAACTCCAGCTATAGTAGATAATATAATCGGTCAAAATATCTTCTACCCCTCTCTGAGGTGGTTTTTTCCTTGTGATATTTCTGTGAGATGATTATATATAACCACCTTGATAAATGCAGGAATAGCCATGTGATTAGCTTTAGTCAATAAAATGAGAGCAAAAATTCCATGAGTCACCTTGGAGGGCTTAAGAGTCAGCTAGTAGTTTAACATGTTTCTTTCCTCTCTGTCATGAGACCAGCAACGTCAACATAAGGATCTGTCAGTCTGTGTCCTGTGTGACAAAGACATGAAGCAGAATCACAGCTTATACAAGATGGATATATAAGGAACAAATATTTTGGAGCCACTGAGATTTTGGAATTGTTCCTGCATGCTGAGGTATCTAATATACCTGTCTTGTACTGGTTATGAAGAACAAAGATAGATGGATATCGAGGTGACACAGTGTGCCTGGAAAATAGTAAATTATAATAGTAATGCTGTTGTGGTTATTCTAAACAAAGGGTCCAGCTATATTGTTAAGCCTTGGAGAACTTATTTTTCCCCTGGGCAATTTGATCTTTTTTTCACTGGGTTCACAGAACAATATAGTCATCTCCTTATTGGCTACAGGATAATTAAAATTTCTTTAGCAAGGTTGCCAGACAATAAAACACCAGAGAACTGTTACTGGTAATCTAGGTAAGTGGGGCCCTCTGGAGGCGGGGGCTTCCCAGAATTTGCATCACTTTTAGTGTGAGCCTGCTCCTCAGATGAGCAGAGGATCACTTCTGTGGTGGGAAACCTGCTCTCCTCTTCAATTACATCTTTTAGTACTCTTGCTAGACTACTGAACTATGAATTTACTGAACAAGCCAGATCTTTTATCATCTTCAGGTCTTTATATAAGCTTTTTTTCGCCCCTGCAAGACATGTCTAATTACACCTGTTAGAGTCCTATTCATCCTGCAAAAGCTGCTTTAATGTCCACTCATGCATTTTCCTTGTTAGTTTCCTTCTCCATTCCCTAATAATTACAAAGCTTGTATTTTCTATTTCCATGTAAACTTCCAGTGCTGTTTAGCTTTGCAGAGGAAACTATCTTGTTCACAGAGGTACAGTTCTTAGTGTTTCATACATAGTAGATGCTAAATAAATGTTGAACATGCAGTGGGGAACAAACTGCTTAGTGAGCTGAATGCTGCCAGTATACCATAGATTTCCCATCATTATGCAGGAAGTTCTCTACCTTTCAGTGCCTGTATTTCACATTCTGGAAAATAAGGATTTTAAAGATTATTAAGGTAATTTCTACTTTCAAAAATCAGACTTGTGGAGAGAACTTCTGAAATAACAAAGACTTTTAAAATTCATTCCTTGAAAAGAGTCCAGAGACCACTAGCAAAAATTGCTCATATAATTTCCAGGATTCTGAAATGGAATATTTTCAAGATTCACCAAAATCTTGCAACAATTTGAGGATTTGTTTATAAAACATAAGAACCACCTCTCAGGAAGAACAGTTAAAGTCCTTCTCTTCTCTGCTCTGAAGTATTCCTGAAAAGCAACCAGCTTACAACTATGGCAACTGAGAATATCAACCAGAGCAGCCCCCAGAGGGAGCAAAAATGGGTTTGGAACACTGGTAAGGCCCATCCCCAGAAAACTATCCCTATTTGACCTTTCTGGCAGTTCCCTGAAAAATCCCATTCTCAAGACTCACATTTGGTCTTGACTCAAAGTTCACTGTGAGAACCATCACATAGAGTATATATTGAAATGAGTCACTGACAATTGTACAACGCTGCAGTAACCCAAAGTGGTAATACCAGTTAGTACTAATAAGAGTTTAAAAGGTAAAAGAGAAGTCCACTGGTGCTTCAAAAGCTATAACATATTCCTAGAAATCTAGATGGGCCTACACACACCCAGGGAGAGACCCAAGAAGACTGTCTTTCACTCCTGGCTGACTTGAGGGCCTGGATAAGTAGGAAGTCACAGTCAGAATATAGTTGCAAATGTTAAGGGTATAACCTAGCTCACACAGAACACTTTGGAAAAGGCTGACTTAACAGCTCAAGGTCTTAAAGAAAACCGCTGACCAAAATCAGCAGAACACTATGCTATTAGAGAATTCCAGTGGCTGTACATGATAAAAGGAAGTTTTGCAGAATTAATCCAAGTGAGTCTTTAAACAGAAAGCAAAAATAGTCACAATAACAAAACCTGAGTGTGTGTGCAGTACAGTCTGATTTCCAGTTTCCACATATCATTTAAAATGCCAATTTTCAACAACAAAAAAATCTTTAATCATGCAAGTAAACAGGAAACTATGGCCCATGCATGGAATATGCAGTGTCTAGAAACTGTCCCTGAGGAAGCCCAGATACTGGATTTACTATACAGAAGATTTAAATAAGTATGTTCAAAAAACTTAAAGAGTCATATCTAAAGAATTGAAGGTAAGCATAACGATTTCTCATTGAATGAAAGATTATAATGAGAGTGAGCAATTTAAAAAGCAATTAACTATAAATTCTAGAATTGAAAATATAATTGAAATTTAAAATTTACTAGAGGGGATTAGCAGTGTATCTTCAAGCTGGCAAGATGATTTAGTAAACATGAAGAAGGTAAATCAATGAAATTATCTACTCTATGGAGCAGAATGAAGAGAGATGATGAGAAATAAGCAGAGCTTTAGAGACCTATAGGACACAGGTAAGTGTATCAACAGATGCCTAAAGGGGGACAGAAGAGAAAGAAGGTATATTTCAAGAATAAATGGCCTAACTCCAAGAACATGGAACACCTGTGCTTTCCTAAAACTCAATTTCACAACTCGACGTATTTGTATAGATTGGGAAATGTTAGAATGCTACAAAAAAATAACCCCAACCCCCCCAAAAAAAATCAGCTTAAAGATTTTGAAAAGATTAAGAGACAACTAAGCTGGAAGTTCACAGCTGACATGGTTAAAATATGATTGCAGGCATCCAAGTTCCTTTTTCCTTATTGTTCAACTATACCTAAGATTGTTTCAGGCACATGGTATTTCAGACTGGGGACTAAGGAAAGTAGCCCATTCTTTTGGTATACGCACACATCTGTACTATTCACTCCATCAGTACTATTAGCCAGAATTTAGCTAAATGGTCTCACACCCAGTTAACAAGGGATTCTAAGAAGTAAAGTTTTGAGGGGTATTTTTTTCTGACCCCCTGGATATTTTTCCCCATATAAAACATGGGGTTCTATTACTAAATGAAGAACTTGAAAATGAATATTAAGAGGTAAGTAGCGGTCTCTGAAATTTTGTTGCCTAGAAATGTTCTGGACTACACATTATTGAAAGATGTCTCCATTTGAATGGGGAATTTGGAAATATAAAAGGACACTCAAAAAATCACTTTATACGTCTTTTCATTGACAAAATTCAAAGGAAAAATAATGCATTTTTACCAGTCTTAAACATTTTTAGTCCTTTATTTAAAACAGCAACTGAATGTATTTGTGCCACTAAAAGCATCAAAGCTAACAGACACAGAAGCAGAAAGTTTATTTACTTAAAACATTTCACAATTATATTATTGGACAAGACCCAATATCATTTATTTAAAATAACATTCTAAATACTTACAAAAATAAATCAAATATTGCTTCTATTTTTTCAAGTGTCAAGGTCTTTGCCATAGAAAATAGAAAGGGCCCTTTAAAAACTAAACATTATATTTAAGCTTCCCCTGCATACTATCTTCTTTTATGGTTTGTGCTTTATAAATTTCCAGACTACTCTGCAACGTACAGGTTCACAGTAAAAACATTTGCATACAACTATATACTCACATTTTAACATAGGAATGTTTCTCATTAAATATGCACATAGAGTACTGTGGTCTAAAAGCTCCCCCACCCCAAAGAGTCAGAAGTGTCACTACACAGAAACAGGTGCGGCTGTGGAAGCATTATCTAACATTTGAATTATCACACCCATTATCAAAAGATGATGACATGTGGATATGGGATACTCGGTGTAATATGTCTACATAAGACATTCTTAATCTATACTAAATTATTAACATCATTCATTGAAAAAATAAACTTTAAATATTTCTCAAAACATTAGGTTAATCTCAGGATAAACATCACTGTCATGTGTATATTAAAAAGAGAAAGGAACATTAATCTTTGAGCTAATGCTCAAAATTAAAGATCATTTCAAATTGGTCTGTAGTTTTACTTTATAAACATTGGGACATTCAGTTCTTATAACATAGATAAAAGCTGAATATCTCTTTCATAGTATATACATTCAAGCCTCCCTTACAACACAGATGTGTATAAATCATGGTTTGGAATGAAACATTTATAATGCTTTACCACCCACAGGGTGTCATTCTCACTACATTAACCAGATGTGAAAAAGAATCTCACTTCTGATCAGTTCCTGAATTTCTGTATGAATAATCACAATATAGAACTTTACATTAGTCTTGTTTATAAATACTTATATATCAAACATTTTAAATTCTACTTATTAATTATAAAAATGCTAAATCAGAAAACTTGTTTTTTTTTCTGTTAAGAAAAAAGTTTCTAGCCTACATCCTTATTCAGAAATTTCACAATTTATTTAGAAATTCCAAGTATAATAACTGAAAATTTATTAGCAATTGAACTGGAATATACTAGTCTTTTGAGATTGATGTTTTACAATATATTCCATTAAAAGTGAGCTTGAAGAGTTTGTAAAATCTCAATTAAAATCAAGTAGAAACACCAAAGGGCAGATGTTTTCATGGCCAAAATATACCAAAAAGCTGTAATAATACTTAGAAAAGTTTAAATATAACATGCTAAAACATTTTGAAGTCTTATTTTCTTTCACTGAAAGTCACAGGCAAGCAGACACTATAAGAATATACAAAAATGCAAACAATATAATTACACAGATAAAAAACATCAAAATCTAAGAGGTAGTCAACAGAAGTAATCTTGATAAAATAAAATATCCAGACAGATATTCCCTAAACTCAGAGACCCAAACACAATATAAAATTTTTGTACTTTCAGTGATCAAAAAAATTACTAAGAATTTAAAACCAGCTATTTCAATGAAAATACTGCAGATGGACCAATACTCATATTTGGAAAGAAAAGCTAAGAATAAAACCTAGACCACAGATCTATAGCCTGCCAGCCAAATCTGGCTTATGTGATGCTATAAATAAACTTACTGAACTACTGCCATGCCCATTTTGTTTACATGCTGTGTATGGCTTCTTTTACACTAGCATAGAGTACTTGAGACAGAGAACATGTAACCCATAAAATCTGAATTATTTACTAAAATATTTAAAATCTATCCCCTCACATAAAGCTTGCTAATCTCTGGTCTAGACATACTGCTGATATGTACTTGTTGTATTTGTTGAACAGCACTGGAAAGATTAATTACAGTTATCACAACATATGGTATGCAACTATTTCAAACACAAAATGAGAGTTACATCACAGTTCAGTTCCTTGTTACATTTGAAATAGTTCTAACATTTATTTTTATTGTTGTAGTCTATATTTGAACTGCCCAATACAGAAGCCACTAGCCACATGTTTGGTTGGAGATGTGCAGGTACAACCAAACAACTAAACTTCTTATTTTAATTAATTTAAATTGCCACATGGCTATCATGATGAACAACAGAAATTTAACAAAACTAATATTCCAAAGTTGTGATTTTTAAAAATGCGCCCCCCCCCCCAAATAAAAAAGGAACATTTCTAAAAATAAGAGCTTTGGGCAAAAATGATCTGCATACCAAAAACTCAGCCCAAGACAAATTCCTTAATTAGTAAACAAAATCAAATTAATGCTACATTGTTTTATCACCGCTTCACCTCTTTCCAGAAGAGACAAAAACTATTATATTGTGATGTACTTTTTTTAAAAGCAAAAGCCAGATAATTTTATGCTTTAAAGCAATAACTGTAATTTTCATTAATTACATTAAAAAGTATGTGGCCATTTTTATACAAAGAATATTTTTCAGCTTGCTTTCCATCAGAAAGGCACCTGTTACAAATGTCAGTCCACTTCCCACCCTTAGCATTTCAACCAAGCTCTTCAGAAACCCTTGTTTATTAGCTGGTACATGTGAGAATGATGACTTCTTTCACAATCTGCGAATTTTCCAATCATTTTTTACTATGGCAAAGTCATTTCAATATTGAAGTTGTCCAAACATTTACCTTCCATGGGGTGACAAAACATACCCATTCAATGACAGAAGAGAGAAGTAGTAAAACCTTGGGTATATCGAGTCAAACAAATCATCCTTGTATAGTTTTCCATATGCCTACCTCAATGACTATTTTCACATGGACCAAAAACATTAAACAAATATAGAGGCATTTTTAAATTACATATTACTGATTACATGTTATGAATTATCAAGTTACTAATACAACTGAAAACATTAAACTAAAATATACAATTTGAAATTATAATACTCTTAAAAGACAAATGTTTGAGAAGTGTGCTTAAATACATCTTCCAATTATTCAAATGTGCTTCCCAGAGAGATAGCTAATTCTATACTTTATTTTCAGTGTCAGCTGATAAAATTAATGTGATGCATTTTGATTCTAAAATAGCTGATTACCAAGCATCTTAACCTTCTTTTTCAATCTGGCAGTAAGCTAAAAGGTATAAAATATTTTAAGGGCACTTCTGTTTATATTTTCTTTTGCAGTTTAATCAGATGTTGTAGCAGGAACTTTAACAGAGAGATTTCTTCGGGTGTTGGTGATGTGCCGCTGCTGTGCTAAGAATGATCGTGCAGGAGTATAGACACCAGTGTCTTTGCAAGCACTACTGCCACTCACAAGCCTGGATTCCATCCCCAGTTTCTGGAATGCTAGACTCTGAACCAAAACATATAAGATTACTAAATATATACATAGCTATATCCATCCATCCATCTAGCTACCTATGTACACACACACACACACACACACACACATTTATCCTCAAAACAATCCTAGAAAGCTAAAGGTTATCTCATTTTTATAGAAGAAAATAAATATTCAAAAGCAGATTAATCTGCACATGGTAATGCTAATAAAAACACAAAACCCAGTTTCTCTATTTTAACTCACTAAAATTGAAATCATTACAGCAGTAGCCTAAAGCCAGGCACAGTGGAGCACACCTGCAATTTCAGCAACTCAGGAGGCTGAGGCAGAATGATCACAAGTTTGAGATCAGTCATAACAACTTAGTGAGGCCCTAAGCAATTTAGTGACACTCTGTTTCAAGATAAAAAATAAAACAACAATAAGATAACAACAACAACAAAACAAAACCCTCAGTATCTTAAAAGAACATACTGGATTTGGGCTTAATTACAACAATAGGAAAAGGTTCCAAAAAAAATTTTTATGTTTGGACCCACTCCAGCTTAAGCAGACATACCATACAGAAAAGCTCAGATTGATGATTCTTAAAAGTATGGTCTCTGGATATATTGATATATGACAAATGACTATAGTTTGGGCTATTTTTTTTTTTTTAATGAGAAGGCATTACTCTCACTAGACCTCCTAGACCTCAAAACAATTTTTTGAACTTAGCATCATAAATAGCTAATACAAGAAATATAGTAGATGTTCAACAAATATAAGCTGAAAAATGAAAAAAGAACTTCTTATTTGCCTTGTATCTACACCAACTAGTCATGGAAAGACAACTAGTGCTACATGAGGAAGCACAGCACACACATGTGGGCTATAAACAGAAATTCCCTTGTGTTAAGTGATAGATAATGATAGAAAATGGCTAAAATCTTATCCTAGTTAATTAGCTCAAAGGAAGCTTATACATTATAGAATGCTACTCTTGAAAACATCTCACTAAGGATGACAAAATTAAAGTTCTGTATAATATTATTTTTTTTCTTTAGTAGAATGGATAGGATCATTATTGAAGAGTACTGCTTCAAGAATTTTGCATTAGACAGATACTCATGTTTTTAGAAACCCTTTATCAATACAAATTAAAAGTTTCAGCTCAAAGCTATTTTAAAATTTTTTGATTTTTATGCCTGTTCTAAATGTGCATCAGTTAAAGGCTGATGAGTTATGAAACAATTCAATGAAGTATAATCAACATTAATAGAAAGAGGATATGAAGATAAAATATCTGAGTATAGTATGCACGGCCAGAGTAATTTTTCTTTCAGTTATATAAACACGTTACATCCTGGTTAATGGTATAAAGTATATTTCTATTGTTCACCAAAAAAGACTATTTTAAATATCCAATCACTGGCTACATTTCACCCACCTTATTATACCAGGCAGAAACAATGAGCTTTTCTTCATAATCACGAAATTTTGCTACTTTACATTCACTCTGGAAAGAGATATGAGGACATTTAAAATCTCAGAAATTGTTCCAAATTACCCAAAACAAAATAATTTCTTCACAATCTCATTGTTGAGAGAATATGAAGAATGTATTTGTGAGGCACATAAAGTAGTCAAAGTGTGAAATGATTCATGCAGAAATGTATTCACAACATCTTTAGGAAAGAAGATTTGTGACTAATCTTTATTTCAGAAATTTTACTAAAAGAAACAGTGATTTAATATGGGCGCACACACACACATACAGACAGACACACACACACCCTCTCTAGTGAGTCTTCTGCTGCTATTCCTCTTATCTTGAGGAAAAAAGCAACTGGCTTAGTTATCAAAACTGGGCTTCACTTATGAAGAGCTGAACCAAGGAAAAAGAGGATGCAGTGTATTAGATTCCCAGCAGTAATTTTTATGTGCCACTGCAAAGGCTGGCAGTCTATTTTTATTAACCTAACAGCAAATTTTATAATTCTGTAACACAGAATTTTGTGATACTATTGAGCAACAGATATAAGTGGCTCATAAAAAAACTAATCCTGAAACACTATGGGAAAGACACTCAAGATACAAAAGGCATGTGGACACTAAATCCGAAGGTGATGTCCTTCTGGCTCATACTATTCCAGGTGCAGACATCCTTGAAGGGGTAGCAGATAGAATAGCCTCTGCTATTTATATCATGTTTCTCCTTTCTTCTTTTTCAGTGTGTATAGAGATGCATACACAGAGCACTCTTACATAATCCTTTTGGAAGTCCTACTTCAAACAATAGCAATTGTATACATTCTCGTTGGCTTGCAGTGGGAAGTAAAAAAGAGCCACTGAGATGTCAAAGATTATGTCATCAAGTCTATTTTTCTAGAAGTACAGATTGAGGCCCAGAGAGGAAAGGTGATAACCTTAAAATAGATTGCCAATAAAGCTATAATCCTGGCCTCTGATTTATGTAATATTTATTGATGTGTATACAGAAGCATAAGAAATAGCCTTTGCTCTGATATACTTCAAAATGTGCCAAAAGGAAAACCAATACTGCTATTCAATGAATTTAAAAAAATACAAGAACTCATTACAGAGAGACAACTACCTTTGCCTAAGGAATATAGGGAAACTTTTACAGAAGAAGAAACATTTGAATTGGATCTTGAAGAATTAATAGCACTTCTTTAGAAAGACATCCCTTCCCAGTACTTTTCTCAACACACATCATGGTCTGAAGAAACACTGACAGCATACACACATATGCTTGGTGTACATTCTGGATGTAGGAAGGAGTGGATTAAAGTCAAACCTTTAAAAAAACATATTTCCACCAAAGTCCACACCTATTTGTTTAGAAAAAAGGTATCTGAATAGAATGTTTTTTGAAATATAATATTATTGATTGATTTAAAAATAATCCTACTATCATTTATGAGAATTTCAAGGCCAGAATATAAAATTCAACATAGATTTGTAATTATTTACATGTTGGTAAAAGGAAATATATATTGACTTCAAGAATAGCATTATGTCTCACCATAGTATTAAAAAATTTTGTAAACCACTCTGCAAAACAAACTAGAATATGCCCAATTACAAAATTTAAGAATATACAATTCCATGCTGGCATATTTATCCAAGCCTCTAAAAACTGTTATAACCACTAGCACAAAAATACTTTTAAAATTTAAAGATTCAACTAATTAATGAGATCATTACTTACATAACCTTGTATGATAATAAAGATGGCTGCTTTGTTTGGGGAGTTACTGGGATTCTAGGAGTACTTCATTCTACCAGAAATTCCAACTAATTTTGTTTAGGTTCAGGTGAGGAACAAGAAAAGATGAGATAAATCTGGCTGAGTAAACATAGTACTTTTTTTAAAAGGTAAGCTCAGTTTTTTCTTTTTCTGCATGAAATCACATCCTCACTATCTAAAAGGAACATGGCAGTGAATGATAACCATAAAAATTGGCTTTTAAAGAGGGAGGGCTACAATGAGAAAATAAAGAAGACACACAAATCATGTATGTGCCAATCTAGAGGGCTAGTAAGATACTTTGTAATAAATATACTGATTGCTAAATCACTACATTTCTAACATTTTTTGAAACTTGATCATTAATGGATAATATATGAAAGGAATTAATTACCAGACTTCCCCATAGAATAATTAAAAATGTGTGATTATGAATGTTTTACCTCCAGAATCTCAATTCTTCTCTCTTTCTCTGCCAACTGCTTTCTAAGTAGCATTATTTCAGCTGATGCTGGATTTAATTTGGGATCTAAAGTTTTTATTACCTGTTTAAAGAAAAAATAATTTATGTTCACTTTATCTATTTGCAAATAGTATTGTCCTCCATCACATTTATACAAATTACTAAAAGTTGGATAGGGGAGACCAGTGGAGTAGAAGTAGGACAATGAGGGAGAGAGGAAGGAAGGAAAATAAAAATAAAATGAAGTTAACAAAAATCATACCTAAAATGAAATAAATATACTTAGAGAGAGAGAGAAAGAGAATTTTTAAATCAGAATGTAGCAAAAATATTTGGCTAAACTACAGAGATGGCATTCTTCTGTTAGGAAACCAGTTTTGGAAAAATCAATATTGACAATACAGGAATATTTTCGGCACAAACTAAATGAAGTAGGAAAGTAGTCCACATCGTCATCTAGGAGCTAACAATATCTGATTACAATTAAATTATAAAAAACAAAAACAACATATTCTAGAGTTAGGAAATGGTATAAAAAATCAGTAAAAAATTGGAAAGATCCCTATCCCCAAATAAAATTTTCCTTCTTCAAGGCTAGGTACTCAGGGATAGTTACTTTTAGCCTTTTAATTGCTCAAACTTTTGAGCACTGAGGTCATGAAATAACACTTTTTATATTTATCTGAATGTAAAAGAAAATAAAAATGAATTCAATAACTACAGAGGAATTTGCTGATTTTACAGCGTAAAAAGGAAATTCTTAAAATAATCTTTTTTACTATCATTATCTAGTGATTCAATATATCAGATAAATATAACAGACCTGGTTTTATTTGCAAACAGTACTGTCCTCCATCATATTTATGCAAATTACTAAAAGTTGGATAGGGGAGACCAGTGGAGAAGTAGGACAATGAGAGGGAGAGAGGAAGGAAGGGAAAGAAAAATAAAATGAAGTTAACAAAATCATGTTATACACATATATAAATGTACCAAAGGGAATTTCATCTTTATGTATTGTACCAATCAAAAATAAACAAAGAAGATCAGTAAAGGAGGGAGAAAAGAAGGAGGGGGAGGGAAGACAAAGGGTGCAATGAGGATTAAAATCAACTTGTATGTATAATTTCATCAAAATGAACCCAAATATTGTGTATTATTATAATGCTTTAATAAAAGAACATTAAAAATCATCCCTAAAATGAAATAAATATACTTAAAGAGAGAGATAAATTTTTGATCAGAATGTAGCAAAAAATATTTGGCTAAACTATATAGATGGCATTCTGTTAGGAAACCAGTTTTAGAAAAGTCAAGTATAAAGTACAAGTAAAGACCACAAATTTTCAATATTGAGGACATCTGTATTAGGTAATTTTATTTATTCATTAATTCATTTATTTATTGGTACTGGGGATTGAACCCAAGAGCACTTTAACCACTGAGCTACATTCCCAGGTCTTTTTATTTTTTGAGACAGGGTCCCACTAAGTTGCTGAGGCTGGCCTTAAGCTTGGGATCCTTCTGAAATAGCCTTCTGAGTCACTGAGATGATTATAGATGTGTGCCACTGTGCCCATCATAAATCTATTTTTTAGAGGTTTAAAATTAATGAATTAGAGAAATGTCATACCCATTTATAGTGACACAAAGGGAAAAGAACAGAAGGTAAGACACCAAATTATTACTAGGGTTCAAATATTCAAAAACCATTTACTGAGTCTTGACATGTGGCAGCTACTGTGGGAGAAATCGATCTAGAAAATTATGAGACACAGTGCCTGCTTTCAAGGAGTTCACATTATAAAAGCAAACTACAATAATGGATTCAAACAATAATTTATCCGTAAATCATAAAAAGAATGGCTGTGACTTTTTTCTATTTTCTAAATTTACTACAATAGACATATCCTATTTTAACCACTATTTTAACCTTTTCCCTCAAACAATGTAAGAAAAAAAAGAAATCCTGTTTATCAAAGCAAATAACTATGTTTTAAATGATATTACTCAATGATGGCAAGAATAAGATATTCATTGTTGCTGTTTTCTTCAATTAGTTATAATCCTTTTAGAACATCATTTAGAAATAAAGTATCTTATTAAAATAGACTTATCCCTGGACCAATAACTCCATTTCTAGGAAATAAAGATAATAAACCAAAATAAAGGGGGAAGCTTTCTGTATAAATATGTTGCCTATAGATTTATTTCTAGGAGTAAAAAATTAAAAGGAAATGGAAACAAATTATTTCTAACAGTAGGATAATGAATAAGGAAACTGATACATCCCTCAAAATTAGTTTTATATATTATTTTATTTTGCAAAGTCAGCTCCTAAAGCATAGTGTTTATCTTATTCACTGCTATATTCCTAGTTCTTAGCAGAGTAGGTGTTCAAAAAATATTATATTTATGTGACATGAAGAAATGGTTAAGTTTAAAAGTAAAAATTTCATATATATGTACACACACATATGTGTTATTACTAGTCACAGAAAATATGTATAAAAAAGTACACTGTTAAGAAAATACACTACGGTGTTAATAGCAATTGTCTCTGGGAACTTTTTTATATTTTATACAATAAGCATGTATACTTTTGTTATTGGACAAACTGTGCAGTTATAAAGCCTATTTCCTTTTCTTAGCACAATTATGTCTCTATGCCTCCAGAGAAACTGAGTGTGGCCACATGCTTGAGCTGTGTCACTGAAATAGAAATTCAAGGGATTTTTGCTGTTTCGAGGCCTGACCTATTACATATCTCCCATGCAATCTATCCATCTTTCCTCATCTACTAGTTGGACAATGTCAAGCAAACCCGGGACACCCATGTTGAAGGAGGCAGACTGTCGGCGTAGAACTTGGAATGGGCACATGGAATAGAGATCTTTTTCCCCTCATGACAGAACTTGATGTGATCAGGAAGCAAACTTGTATCATATGTCAAGCTTTGAGATCTTGGGTTTATCTGGTGCTGCTGGTACTACTGACACCTTAATTAACAAATATCATGAGATTTAAATAAAAAAAGGTAGTCCTCTTACCACTGTTTGAAAGTGCCACCATAAAATTCCCTTCTTTTAGGTTGTGAAACAGCACTAACATTTTCCTTGTTTATTCTCTAGGATACCAAAGCATTTTCAGGTTTCCAGTGCCATCTGGAGGAGTCAGTTTAGATCCAACTAACATCTAGACTGCTTTAAGAGGGGCCATTTAGAGCTCAGAAGTCTTTAGGTACACAACAATATGTTTGGGGGGTTCCAAAAAAAAAAAAAAAATTCCCTTCTTTTATTCAGAAAAACTAAAAAGAATATGTGTTAACATTCTCTGAAAGAGAATACTTACTATGGTTTCATGAAAACAAAAAACTTTATGAAAACAAGATTTATAGATATTAAGTATGAAACAAGGAAAAATAATTTAATCTGGCAAACATTAGAATAATGTTTAACTGTTAAATCTAGACCAAAGGCTAAAACAACTTCAAACAAGTTTAAAAAGCTAAATTTTCACAAAAGGTAAAACGTTGATTTTGCTAAGAGTTTAGCAAATTTTATTCTTAGCAAATGTGCTAAAAGTCTAGGAAATAAACATTCTAGGTTTATCTCATTAAATGCTAAACACCCCATATAATAGTGTAGTCACATTCCCTAATGAGTTCATTACAATTAATGTTTAAGCTGTCCCTATAAGTGATGTGTTTATGTTTTCTGATGCTAGTCTGACAGTAGTGAATGAGACTGAAGAGTATGAGGACTGACATGGAGATACTCCAGGAACTTGACAGGCAAGGCAAGACTGTGCAGAGCAAATTGATGATACAGATAGAGGAACAGTGCATAATCAGGAGAAAAAGAATTAGAAGGTGGGCCACAAAGGCTGGACCTCTGAAAGGTAAGTCACTTACATTTCTGGCTTTCTCCAAGTACATTTTATATCTTTCTTCCATTGCTTTCATATCTTCATCTTTCTTCTGAAGAGCAGCTTCAAGTTCACTGATCTTTTGTACTATTAGTAAAAATAAAATGAAACATGACTAATTATTAGGATTTAAAATACTCCACCCTCAAATAAGAAATATATTTATCAAATTTACTTTCTAAAAACTGGTAAGAGAACTTAAAGGAGAAAAACCTTATTTCTTCTTCATAGTGAATTCTTATCTAAAACTTTTGAAATTATAACCAATACATCCTTGATCATTCATTATTATACTATAATCTATATTTCTCCTTTAGATCAAGAATTTCAATAAGCAAATATACATTCAAATTTAAGCCCAACCATAAGAGAAAATATGGAATTATTTCTATTTGATGTTTTGAAGTTCATTTTAATCTGGCTTGAAATCATTTCATTCATATTTACATGGTATTAATTATATTTTATAATGTTTGATACTCCTATATATCAATCAGTTCATTTTATTAGATTTAACCTTTTTTTTGGCTTTTATTTGATTATATCTTAATGAACTCAGCACTAAAATTATCATGGTTCTTACTCATAATGTCTGTATTTACACATTGTGCAAAGACTTATGAATAGTTCTTGCATCTTTCAACTAAAAAGGTCGAACCCTTAAATTATGGTCTGCTTCGAATGTTTCCAAATACCTACCATTTTGGTTTATATCTGGCTGAAGATCTTCAATGAGTTCTTGTTTCTTCTGTAATTCTTCATGGACCTCTGTTAGTTTTTCCCTAAGAAAGAGGATGCAGCCAGCTGTCAAACAGACCTAAGGATGAAAACTGTTCTCTGCCACAAAATATTTGTTGTCTCTGGGTAAGCCACTATCTGATCCTTAGTTTCCTCACCTGGGAAGTGGGAAAAATACCTGCCTATTTACATGGTTTGTCATGAGTATGTAGACTGCCTAGACATGGTGGGTACCAAAAATGCTAAATATTTTTCTCTTGCCACCCTCACTTCCTAGGAAAGTAAAAGGAGATATTTAACAGGTTAAACACCCACAAAATCTAGTTGTGACAGTTGTTTCATTTTAAAAACTCTTAAAAATGTAGAAGTTTGGGATGGTTGCCAGGTAGGATGAGCCTTTTAGCATGTTTTTCTTTTCACTTTTTGATGAAAAGAAAAATCAGCAGCAGAATGTTTCCCTTTATTCACCAATTCAGAAAAGGAAATTAACTTCAGAAGCTTAACAACCCTTCCCCTCTCATATTTGAAATTAAATACTAGTTTTACTTACATATGAGCTTCCAACTTCTGCTTTAGTTTGCTGGACTATAAAATTAAAAAAAGCTGCTGTAAGATGACTATCTTGACAAAGGTAAATTTTTCATACATCTAAATATCTTTTTATATCCTTTTGAAGGTATATTACTATATAAAACTATGAATGTTTTTAAAAATTTGTATTTCTGGTAACATACTTTTAAAAGCACAAAAAATTAGGCATGTTTTTTACATCAAAAGGAAAAGTAAAGGAAAATAGGAAATAAAGTAAGAAAGAGTATATTAACAGAAAAATGCCATGTAATTCTGAACACAATAAATATTGAATTTGAATTTGAAGAAAAATAGTAAATGGAAACTGAATGTGATATACTGAGGAGTATCAAACATTCAAGTATCTAATGAATCATTATCTTAAAATACAATTTTATCTTTACAATAAATGTTATCATTATATACACAAGAAATTTAATATTAATACAAAAATAAAGCAAATGGGTACTGTTTAAACAATTCAAAACATAAAATTTCCTCTCATCAACAGTACTTTAAGTTGTAATAGTAGTTCTGCTTCAACTGAATAGCTGCAGAGTTAAAAATACATAATGTAAAGTATAATGTGGACACCAATAAATATAAAATGAAAGATGAAGAAACTTAAAATATTTAAAACACTGAAATTCAAAATGAACTCCCCCAAATAGATACCATTTTAAAAGTATTCCCTAATGTGACTTAAAAATATTTGTATTAGAGAGGGTACGATACCGTATATATGCACATATGAGATGCCGCCATGCATGAGATGATTTCTATTTTCCAAGCCCCCAGGGAAAAAAGAGAAAATCATATAAAGTATATAAAAGACAGAAAGGAAACACAACCCTTTCAATCTTCCTTTCCATCTCTACTTACTCTGCAATTTCCTCCCCCAGCAAAACAGGAATAATCAGTTAACATTTTATCTAATCTCAATCAATAGATATCTCTCTAACACACATCCAGCCCTACCTTTTCTGTAATTTCTTTTTAATTAAATACATTTCTCTCTCAACATTATTTCCTCTCCACATACAGAGATCAAACTACAGGAAAACTGCAGATATATTGAGAGTTAGGCTAAATCTGAGGTCTTTTAAAGACCTCTTATCTCTGTCCTCACACAATCTGCCATCAGTAGATAATAACAAGTCCTGTCAATTTAGAAGAAAGGAAGAAATAGGGGGTGATGTCTTCAAAACTGCATTAAGGTCTTTGTCCTTCAGAGATTGGTATAATCCATTTTTTGAATACACATTGGTTGAAATCATTATTTTTTTTTTGTTCTCTAGGTTCTTATTAGAAGGTTTTCTTAATTCTGACTTGCTAATTATTCTCATTTAGACTTTATTCAGGTCAGCCTTGTTGGAATCCTGGCAGAACTGTGAAGGCCTCAAGTATAGCATGCTCTCAAATCAAGAATTATCACAAATTTAGGCATAGCTGTTGAAGCAGGACAGATAGAAATCACATTACAATATATATGATCAATTTATAGGCTCTAAATTGGCAAAATCACTGCATCTGTTATGCAGATATATACGGTATTTGAGGGTACCCTCAATGATAATGGTGGCACTTTCAAATTCAAAATTAATTTGGGCATCAGGAACTATTAAAGTGAATCCACACAGAGCAGAATTATTTACAATTTGTAAGTTACTTACACTTTCGCCTTCAGTCTTGGAGCCATGTTCTTGTAAAGACTTCTGAAGGTCCTCAATTTGCTGCTGCAGTTCTCGGATGCGCTCTTTGCTCAGCCTGTTGTAAGATGGATCTCATATTACCTGGTACATAGTAAGCTTTATATAATATTTTTTATAATTATACTAATTTTTTAGCAATCATTGGTACTAGATAAGTATCTCATTTGTTTTAAATACATTATCAGGAATCTAACAACTCATAGCTAGAGAAACTGAGTTTAAGTTACTTGCTCAGAAATAAATAGTTAATGAATCATTTATTCAAATGTTAAATGTCCGGTCAATTTGAAGTGATTTAAATGAAATTAAAAAATAAGCAAACTGGTTGACCAAGTCTGCTACAATTAATGGATCATCCACATGTTTTAAAATAATATGATTAAAATGATCACTTGATTTTTTTCAGAGTGCAGCTAATAGTGGTGAAAGACAAAAAAAAAAAAAAAACCCAAAACAATAAACAAAAATCCCAAACTACTTCTAGATAATGCCAATTATTTAAACTAGTGCAATATTTTCTACTTCTGTGAATCAAGATTTCATGGCTAGGTAACCAAATCACCATGACTTCAGGTTAAAAAGGAGCAGTCAGAGTCACCTTTGCTCTGTTTCCAACTCATTCATCTTGCGGTGCTTCTGTTCTAGCTGCTCCTGTAGCTCTTCAATACGCTCATTCTCAGTACCTTCCTGCTGCAAGCGAAGCATCTTGTTTTCATGCTGTAGTCGAATAAATACCTCCCTGATATTGGAAAGCAAATTTGTTTTAAAATTTCAGGTATTAGTCCCTATATTCTTTTAATTTTAAGGGAGAAAATTCATGTTTACTCAATAGCTATCATTTTAAAATGTGATTAAAACTTCTGAAAGATTTTTTAAAAATTATGTTTATTACAAGACCATGCCTCAAAACAAGTAGTAAATTATTAAAGGTACCAGTATACTATTATGCTGTATATGCAAATCCTCAAGAGATAGTATGAATTATTTTACTTTTATAATTTAGAAACTAGTCATGAAAGAAAATGTTATACTCTTAGAAAAATACATGAATGAAAAGCAATAGATTTAAGAACATAGTTTGTCTACAATTTTTAAGTATAATTTTATGATGGTAATAAGTTTCAAGTCTTTTCTTGAAAAAACTTCTTAAGGATTTAAATACACATTTTTAAAATGCAAATTTGGTATTAAAACACAAATGCAATCTTTATTTGGTATTAAATAGAAAAGTAATTGTTTCCTATTTACTTCATTTCCTAATCTCTTTCTCCCCTGAAACAACTAATTCCAATTAATCCCAATTTTGATTCTTCTAAATGTCAGTACCATAATTCTAACTAACAAACTTATATGATTCTTTATTAAATTACTAATTTTAGCATAACGATTGACTCCATGCTAGGAAACTTAATTTTTACATCTTTACTACTTCTCCCATCACAGGTTTCTTAGTTATAACATATTTTGTCTTCTGATAATTTTGTGACTTTAAATGATAAAATACCTGTAAAGTTAAAGTGACTTTGTGTTGCATAAATGTTAGACAGTAAATTTATTTTTTATGATACAACACATGACCTCACCACCTCATAAGAAGTTATGTTATTAAAAGTATAATATGTTACTTAGCAAGTTTTTTGAATTTTCCTTCTGATAAATTTTTAAATTGCTATGGAAGCAACTGTTGTATAGCAACTATTGGTTTAGAAAGTTTAAACAGATGACAAAATAAAATTTCACTATGATTTGTTACTTTCAGGTAAATACAAATGAATTGAAAGCATTTTCCAAAACAACTGGATGTTAATAATCAAAAAGTGTACGTTAGTTTCTAGTAAAGTTTGTAAGAAAGGTGGAAGTCATGACTATATTCTAACAAATAAAACTCTGAACAAATTGAAACAACCTTGTTCACATGATGCTAAGCAAAAGTCAGTCACAAAAGTTACCTACTGTATAATTCTATGTATATGAAATGTCCATAAAGATACGCTTAGATTTGGAAGGGGTCAGGAATGGAGAATGACTGCTAATAGCATGGGTCTCTTTGGGGGATATTCAACATGTTTTAAATTAGATAGTTACAGTGATGAGAGTCACAATATGATAGTGACAACTATGAATATAACAAAAAACCCACAGAACTGCATATTTTAAATGGATAAATTATATCTCAAAATGATTTAAACAAAAAATAAATTGAGTTTGAAGTAATAAATCCATTGCTACCAAAAGAAAAAGAAAACCATTAAAATTAAAGATTAGTCAAATGTCTACAAGTAAACACAGCAGTACAAGTCAAAGTTAAATGTTAGATCAACATAAAAATATTGTATTGCTTAACTTCTGCTTCATTCTTCTATTATTATTGATAATTCCTCTCTTTCCACTTATATAGATTTCAATGCCAAATAACAATAACAAAAAACAAATTTCCAAATTAAAAACATAAAAATAATTTTAACAAAACAAAGCCTATGTTATAAAAACTAGACTGTTATTTTTCCAGTTTGTACAATTTTACTTGTGATAAATTTTAAAATTGCTGTGGCAGCAATAATAATCTAAATTACAATGTTTAAATAAATAGATAAGAAGGAGTTATTTTCAACTCTATGACTCATAAAATGAAAAGTTTCAAAGGTCAAGTGATTTACAAAAAGAGAGGAAGAAAAAGGAAGGAAGGAAATAGGGAAGGAGGAAAGGAAGAAACCACATTTCTAATATTAAATATGGTCTATCAATCAGTAGAAATAAATTTACCTATATTCCACTGGCATAATCTCAGCAGCAAGATTCTCAAAACTTTTTGTAGCTGATGCATCTAAACAAAAACAAATTAATGTTTCAGTATTTCAACCATTATAGAAACCTTTATTAAAATCTAACCAAATGTACCTGTTTGATTTAGGTGATCCTGTTGTACTTGTGAACATCGAAGCTCTTCATTTGTTTCTTTCAGAGTATCACGCTGCTCTATCAGTCTCTAAGAAAGAATTGTTAATATCAGCAAAGTATTTCTTTTTACCTAGTTCTTTATGTCTTTTACAATTTAAGTGATTTTGATAATTATTAATTAAAAGTGATAGTTTTAGCTTTAAGAGGCTCCTTTACTCTTGTATAAGTCACACACATAATAGCCTTTATACAACACATGGCTTGTGATTTCCCCCTCAGAGAGTTTACCTTTGATCTAAATGAATGCAATTATGTAAGAGTACAAATATGCAAATACATGGTAAGTAATAAAAAGAGCATGAACTTCAGAGATTAGAGTTTGAATTCCAGACTCTCTACTTCCTAGATGTATTAGATATAAAGTCATTTAATTTTTTACTTTAGTTTTTGTATTTTCAAAATGGGAATACCAATATAAAAATCCTTGCAAGCTGGCATGGTGGTGCATGCCTGTAATCCCAGCAGCCTTGGAGGCTAAAGCAGGAGGATCATCTGTTCAAGCCAGCTTCTGCAAAAGTGAGGTGCTGAGCAACTCAGTGTGACCCTGTCTCTAAATAAAATACAAAATAGAGCTGGGGATGTGGCTCAGAGATCAAATGCCCCTGAGTTCAATTCCTGGTACCACCCCACCAAAAAAATCTTTGCAAATGTGTTTTGAATACTAAGTGAGATAACTTCAAGTATCTAAACTGGTTGTTGTATAAGAGATGCAGTAGACTAGGTATATCTTTTACTGCGAACTTATATTTTAAAAAGTTATAAGTAGCATCCTGAAGTATGAATTTGTGGAAGAATACTATTATCCAAGAAGAGCAGCTAGTAATTCATGACATTGACTACTTTACTTTAGAGCTACACCAATGATGAACTTTTATGTTCTGAATAAAAGAATCACTGGGATCTATAAATTAAAACTAGGGACAGGTATGAGAATTTTTATAAATATGCTGTCATAAATGCAATGGAAACTCTAGAAAACTTGTCCTCATCAACTTTTACAGAGTTCTGGAAAATAAACCAAAGGCCTAAAATAATCTGAGGAGTATTTATTAAAATAAACTTGCTAAGGACATCGTGACAATTGGGTTTCTGTTTGGAAAAATGCGGAAAAGTCTCCCTGTTGTGTAGGTACTAGGAATGGACACCCAAAAGTATGTTCAACCCCCAAAGCAATAGCCAATGGTATTATCTATCTGTTGAGAATGTCACACAGAAAATGAAAAAAATCCAGGGATACAATCAGATGCAGAGAATGTGGATACTGAATAATGTACAAGAAAAGAACCAAAAGATTGGCTTTTGATGCTCAATGAATATGGGAATTCAAAGGAGTATCTTCCTTTTTACTTGGACTTGACCTGTTAATGTTTCTCATTATTGTATAGCTTTTCATTTAGCACACTTATCTTATGAATATAACTATATTCGTATGATTTCATTTTCCAAACCAAATTGTGTTTAGGTATTAATAATTTGTATAAAGATTTTTTGTTTAATTAAATGACTTAATTTAATTTTATTGTATTACGTGATCTGACACAAAATGAAGGTTAAAATTGCTTCCCCAAATCACACTATTAATCAAAAATTTGTTAGAAATTCAGGTTTCTAGAGTCCTGTAAAATTCTGATTAAATAAGTTCCTTGGAAATAAAACAAACAAACAAACAAACAAAAATGCTAAACCTTCATTAGAATGGTAAGCTTTTTGCTTTTTTAACTTGCCTTATCACTATCCCCTCTCCCCAGCTGTGGAGTAGCTGCAAAAATCAAAAGTCCCTCATATCCCTATATCTGTGAAAACCAGGTTCTTTGGTAGTCAAGAAGAGGCAGATTAGACAGGAAGCTCCTCTCAAAAAGCCCTATCATGCCAGACCAAGTGGTGCCCTAGCAGCTCAGAAGGCTGAGGCAGGAGGATGGCAAGTTCAAAGCCAGACTCAGCAACTTAGCAAGCCCTAAGCAACTTAGCGAGACACTGTCTAAAAATAAAAAATAAAAAAAGGCTGGAGATGTGGCTCAGTGGTTAAGCACCCCTGGATTCAATCCTCGGTTCTAAAAAACAAAACAAAATAAAACAAAACTATCATCCTCAGAGCATTATCACTATTTTACCTGTCCTGCAGCTCCTAGAAGCCCCATTTGCAGGGATTTTCATTATTTGACCCAATTCAGTGCTTACCATTCTACAGGAAGAGCTGTATTCCCATGACATACATCAAACATAATCCCTAGCAACTGTTTATTACCATAATAAAATTAATAATATAAGGTGGAGATAATTAAGAACCTAGCCAAAATGTTATAAGAAAGATCTTGAAATATGATGCCCAATAGGATGCTATGAAAAGTTCTGACATGTTCCTGGTGATATAAGAGGAAAACTATGTGCACATGCCCAGAAAATACCACAGAGAGCCCAATGTCTCAGCTCTGACTGAAATTGAGGCCCTGTGCAATCAGCACCTAAAGGCAAAGGCAGAATTTCAAATTTCATGAGCACTGAAAATGTTTTTCAATATACATTCTGCATGTTTTGACAAAGTCTGAGAAAAGTATTGGTTCAAGGCATCTATTATAATCCCTGACCAGTCATAAACTAGCCATAGTGGCAATTGAGCAGGTACTTCACTGATTGCACATTACACAGAATACAGACTTTGTAAAATCAGTAAAAAATATCATTAAAGACAGACAAAATAAACAGTAACAAGAACAAATACTGAGATTGGGAGAAATATGATTTTCAATTTTAAAATATTATATCAAATGTCAGATATTCAACAAAAGTTAAAAAAAATACACCGAGAAAAAGGAAAACTTCTACACTGAAAGAAAAATAAGTCAACTGAAAAAGCCAATGAGATGAGCTAGTGGGGGATATAGCAGACCAAAACCAAGTGAATTATTATGATTACATGCAAAGAACTAAAGCAAACTATGTGCACAGAATTAAAAGAAATCACAACAATATCTCACCAAACAGAGCGTAAAAAATTATTTTAAAAAATACTAGAAATTCTGAAGTTTCCAAATTTTGTAGATTCAAGATACCAGATTAGAGGAAAGCCACAATACCTTAATGCTCTATAGCTTGAGATACAAGCAGTGGGAATGCTGCTTCTCAGCAAGGTGGGTAAAGAGGGATTTGAATGAAATTCAATGTAAGAGTCTCTTAGAGACTCATATATCTAGGTGAGCTGAACAAAAAATAAGTACATAACTGGAACCAATTCAAATGCAACAGTGGTACCAATTCACCATGCAGAGGAGGGATAACACAAAAAAGAGAAACATGATGGAGAAATCTGGCATATAAAATCCTTAAAACAGAAAAGCAGACTGAACTTAACAGATCCAGAGGCTTCACAGTGAAATGCTATTTGAAAGGTGCTGTGTTTCTCAACTGGCAATCGAAGAGCTATGATAGGGAGCCATCCTGAGGTGGCCATAGGCAGCTTACTGCTGCAAGAGCCTGGGAGATCATAGCAAACACTGCCATACTGTCCTGGTAAGCACCTAATGTGTGGCCTAGGGTACAGTTAGCAGAATGTGAAACAGGCACAGATTGTACCCAAGGGGATTCAAGTCAGAGATTATGTAGGTAAGTAGTATTCACTTTAAGTCTGGCAGTTCATGTGACCAACTGTAGATGGTTAAGAAACTAATGGGTGACTGATTACACTCAGGGACTAATCCTGGGAAAGCCACATTTTGTGGGCAAGGTATTATTTGAGAACTGTGGAGGACTAGCACCCTTTTCCTGACAGCAGAATTCCTGGATGGTTGCTGAGAGCCAGATTCCCAGAAGAGATTGGTATCTGCCTGTCCTAGGGATGTGTTAATCTCTCCAGAGCAGACACCACCTAACAAAGACCCTAAGGCTTAAACAGAGCTAAACCCCAGCAACTGGAACTCCCTTCTAGAACTCTGCAGCAGTCCCACCTCAGAGTACTTTGTTCTGGTCTGTCCAGAAAAATCTACAATCCAAAGCACTTCCCATTTTGTCCTACCTTATACTTGTAAGAGAAATTGAAAGCTATTTTAACCAGCTTCCATTTTAAGCCATACTGTAAGCTGGCAGTTTGGTGAGCAACACAAAAACAAGAAGATATGGAAAGAAGGATAATCAGGCATAATCATTCATCCTCACTGACAGTTATGAACACCTCAGTGGAGACAATTCTTTAATTTTTCATTAAAATCTTTTTCTACCTTTTTTTTGGGTGTTCTTCCTGTTGGTTCATGGATGTGTGTATATATACCTTATTGTGTGCATGCATATATGTGCATGTATGCATATATGTATGTATATATGTGTATATATGTATTTATACATGTTTGTTTCTTCTTTTCTCATTTTTAGTGATTTTTTTCTTTGTCTTGTCTTTGAGGTTCAGGGTCTTTGTTTATTTTGCTTTTATTTATCTTGTTTCTCTCTCACCTTCCTTCTCCCTCTAATAGCCAAATTCTTTTGTTCTCTCTTTCTCCCTTGTTTCATTTTTTTCTCTTCCTCCTTTGTAGCCATCACTTGCTACATTTCTTCTTTTTATATTTTGAACATTCTAACCTTTCTTTTAGCATCCTATTATTATTTTTTCTCTTAATGTATTTTTCCCATAGTTTAGAATTAATTGGCTTACACATTCCTGCCCTACAACCCCTGATGTTGCAGTTATAGTACCTTGGATGGCATAGCTGATATGATATTTACTTTAATGCCAGATCTAGTTCATGATATTTATTAATTTTGTTTTTGCCAACTGCTGACTCTACCATTCCTATTTTTGTGGTAAATTCATTGTTTTGTAGATGTCATAGCAGACACTGGGTGTTTATTTTAATGCTATATAGTGTTTGCTTCTGTTCTTGCTATTGTTTCCCTCTCTTCTGTGAGGTCTGGAAATCTACTGGGATACAACAAATTCACAGGATAGAAACACTGCTACAGAGTTAAACCCAGCCAAGAGATAGCTCACCTTGCTTCACACACAAGCTAACCATGCTCAAACTTCAGTGACATTTTAATACAAAGAATAGAAGAGACAAAACCCCCAAACTTAACAACCAGGCAAGGAAAGGCAGGGAGAGCCCTCAGGCCCATTCATGGAAATATACTCCTAGAGCAAAAACAATTAACACAAAGGCTGTGGATACCACATCTATGCAGGATCCTAATCTAAATCACTCCCATAACTTTTAGAGTATATATAGTTGTTAAGGTGTATAATCACAGAGGGGTGTATTCCATATACCCTGGTTTATTCAATACATTTGCCAGAACTACAAGGAGGACCCCACTCTTTTGAGACCTATAGGAAAATGAAATCCTTGTGTTCTGATGCACTATACACTTTATCAAAACTATACCATAAAACCCATTTGGAAATTTACTGAAAAAATTCACAGCAACCTAATATCCCAAAATAGTTTCACATTGGAAGAAAATATTCACCAAGTATTCATGTAACAAAGGATTAATATCCAGAAATATATTAGGAACCAAAACGCTTAATTTATGGAATAGGCAAATGATCTGAATAGACATTTCTCAAAAGAATTAATGTAAATGGCCAACAATACATGAAAAAAATACTCTACAGCATTAGTAATCATGGAGAACATCTACAATGAGATATCCTCTCACCCTGTTAGAACAGATATTATTCACAATAAAACAAAGCAAACAAAAGAAAAAAAAAAACAAGGAAAAAAAAAACCCAAATAACATGTGAGGATGTGAACAAGAAACTCACATACTTTTTTTGGGAATGTAAATGAATACAACATTATAGAGAATAACATGGAGGTTCCTGAAAAAACTAACAATAGATGTACTATATGATCTAGCTACTCACTTCATATCCAACAGAAACGAAATCAACATACCAAAGAGATAGAGATACTTGCATTTTCATGTTTAATGTAGCACTATTTACAATAGCTAAGATATGGAATCAATTTATGTGCCCATCACTAGATAAATGGATTAAAAAAAACAATGAAATGTTATTTAGCCATACAGATGAATGCCCTTTGAAGCAAAATGGATGAAAGTGGAAGACATTTTTTGTTAAGTAAAATAAGCCAGACAGAAAGACGAAGTACCACACATTCTCTCTCATATGTGGTAGTTAAAATAGTAGACTTGAATGTAGAATATTAATTAGGATAATTTTGGGGAGTGAATTAAAGGAGGCTCAATTTGATTAGTGCACACTGTATGCACATGTTGAAATGTCACACTGAATTCCAATAATCTATACACATTTTGTAAATGCTTAACAAAAATAAAATGTAGCTAGGCATGGTAGTGCATGCCTGTAATCCCAGCGGCTCAGGAGACTGAGGCATGAAGATTGTGAGTTCAAAGCCAACCTAAGCAAAAGCGAGGCACTAAGCAACTCAGTGAGACTCTCTCTCTAAATAAAATACAAAATAGGGATGGGGATATGGCTCAGTGGTCAAGTGTCTGAGTTTAATCTCCAGTACCCAACAAATAAATAAATAAATAAATAAATAAATTGTTTAAAAATTGAATGAAGTGAAATCATTTTTACAAGACTTTTCTATATGTATATAATTTCAAGAAAAATAGAACAAGTAGATATTGTTATCATTCTAAGAATGGGTAGTTAAAAAGCTAAAAAAAGAACAACATACTCCTTTTTTGTGTGTGTGGTGCTGGGGATTGAACTTGTGGCCTTGTGCATGCGAGGCAAGCACTCTAGCTACTAAGCTATATCCTTATCAAATATGTTTATGATTACCTCTTTTTCCTTAAGTAAAGCTTCATGTTTTTCTTCAAGCCGCTTCATTTCAAATGCTAGTGTATCTGCCCTTTTGGATTCAGAGGAAAGTTTAACGTGAAGGTCCTGAATCTTTTGTCAGAAATCAAGAAAGAAATAAGAGTATAAAATATTCATAGTGTTTCAAAGTAAATGAACTGATTAAAAATAAAATGTATGTATTAAAATTATATTCTATAAGTATTTGGAAAATAGTAACTGTATAAAAGAATTAATGTTAAATACAAAATAATAATTAAGACACAATATTAAACAGTAGCCTACATCCTAATGTTTGTCTAGATTATTTGAAAATAGAAGAATAGAATATTTTAGGTCACAGCTGCATTTTCTACCATCCTCTAAGCATCTGTCAATGTTTACTAGAAACATTAATAAACCGTAGCATCTCAAAAACAAATACGTTAGCAAAAATAAGTTTAGAAGGCAATAAGAAGGCGAAGGACCTGGAGAAGTCAAACTCGGCTATCAACCTTGATATTAAAATTACATATAGAAGAAATTCACTGAAGTACATAGCTTATTGTATGCAATGCTTAACTTTTGTATCATTCTTAAAGATGAAATGGAATAGTGAAGTTGAATTCTTTCAATTTTATCAATTAAAAATTAAGATATTTTCTTACCTGCCTTTTGTACGTTTCTAATTGTGTGCGTGCTGCATTTGCCTTCTTTAATTCTTCTTCCAAGCTGACTGTATTATGCATATACATCATGTTTGTTTCCTGTAAAGTTTTAACCTGCTTGCGAAGGTCATTTAGATCTTGTAGTTTCTGACGATATATCTCAACTGTTGACTCTAGTTTATTTGCTTTATCAGAAGTAGCCCTGTAGTAATAGAGAAAAAGCAATCCAAATTAAAGAGTAGCATATACACAGAGCAATTTTATTCTGGTTGTAAAATGAATCTTCCAAGCTTTAACCAAGACTTGGGTCTAAAACCATTTACTGTTCAATCTTTTTGTTATTAAGGCATCAAAAGTAAAAATGCTTCAAATGTGACACATTAAGTTACCACCAAACTGTTTTTAGCCTCATATTAAAAAAAAAAAAAAAAAAGAAGGGCTTTGTACATATAGTAAAAACAATTCTAAACTATTCTGTAGCTTACAGAAAAACCTTGCTTTGTTTTAGTATCATCTTATTTTCAGTGTTTGAAAAACTTAGGAAGATAAGTCAATTTATGAATTTGTCTGGAAAAATACTTTCCTTGGAATTACACTTAGTGGACCAACCAGGCTGTAGCAAAGATAAATAAACCAAATCAAGTCACTAACACTGTCAAAATTAATGGTTCTAAAGATTTTGTTTCAAATGTTATTAAGAGCTGCAAAAAAAAAAAGCTAATTAAGAAATCAACAGAAAATATGCAGAACATGTGGACCACCTATTCATTGGGTAACATTTCATAGGCAAAAGTCTATATAAATATAAAAATATTTTATAATATAAATACATATTATAAAATATTGCCCAAGACAATCCTTGAAATAAATGTTAGGTTCCTCTTCTATATTTATATTTCATCAAATCTGAAAATATTGTGAAAAGACATTTCCTAAAAAAAATTTTCTCAAAATACAAAAATGGGTACCAGTTTAAGCTAAATGGATCATTTACAAAATCTTCAGAGAAAATTTTGGGTTTATAGGTTCTAATGTGAAACTGTTGTAACAAGAGTTGAACATTATCTTTCAAATACAATTCCAGAAAGCATAAAGGAAGTAAAGACCAGAAACATGAATAAAAAGTGTTCAACATTTTATATATTGGAAAACTCTTTAAGAATTTCTGATTAAAGCATGGAATATTCACATTAGCTAAAAACTTAGAATTAACATAAATATATTTAGGCCTGCCATACCTAAGAACATCTATTTCATCCTTCAGGGCTCTTGTTTCTTCAGCAAGACTAGTCAATTCATCATTCCTATGCTGAAATTCAATTAATTGCTTTTCAAGTTCTTCACAGTGAACACGGTAATCATCTTTTGCAGCTTCAAGCCTTGCACAAAGAAAATAAGTGATTATTTGTAATATAATCATTTATAATATAATATTTTATAAATATTTATAATTTCCATCAATTGTCTTCCTACTGAGACATGACATGACATACTTAAATTCCACATTCAAAACAGGAAAGATTGAAGGAATAAGGTATTTGGGGCTCTTAAATTTGTAACAGGCATGAAAAGTAAGTTTAATGTTCTGAATTTTCATTTACACTTCCAAAACATGTGCTTAGTAATCTCTATAGAGTCTAACAGAAATTTTAATTTCAAAAGAGGAAGAGAAAAATGCATAAGATAAATTCACTCTTTAAAAAATAGTTGACATGTAAAGAGGTCAAATATTAACTTCTGAGGAGACTGCAATAAATTAATGACAATGTGTGTAGAAAACTTTGTGATATCAGAAAGTAACAAACTGCTCAAAAAAAAAGATATGTTGAAAGGCTAAAATCACCAGTTGAAAGGCTTTTCACTGACCAAATCTGGGAAAATTTGACCCTCGAAATAAGTGATGATAGTAATGGATTTACAGTCCTCTGAATAAGAGTCCATTTCTAAATAGAATGCATAATTCTGGATTAGATTTCAAAGAAGGGGTAAAAAAAAAAAAAAAAAAAACTTTATAAGGGACACTGAAACAATTGATGGAATTTGAATACAATATACGGATTAGATAATGTTTAATCAGTGACAAATTTCCTATACTGAGGATGTCCTTGTTTTTAGGAAATACACACTAAAATAAAGAGGCATGTCTCCAAATTAGTGTCAAATGATTCAGAAAAACGTTTAGCTATATAAATAGATAAACTGCTAAAGCAAATAGAGAAAACTGTAAAACTCCAAATATAAAACACTGTAAAAGCAGAGTTCTTTGTAGTATTATTGCAACTTTTTTTTGCAAGTTTGAAATGATATAAAAAAAATTGTATGGTAAAATTAGCATGTTTGGGGGATGGGGTTGTGGCTCAGTGGTAGACTGCTCACCTAACACATGTGAGGCCCTGGGTTCAATCCTCAGCACCACATAAAAATAAAATAAAGGTATTGAGTCCAACTATAAAAAAATATTTAAAAAATTAGCATGTCTGTCTTTAAGATCTCATGGTGCAAGACTCAGTGGTAAGCACACAAGCAACAATCAATGTTTATTAAAGGTAAGAACTCTATTTTTAAAAGAAATAATATTAATGTTCAAGTAAGAAGCATTTAAGATTTATATTTTTTCCACTCATTATCAGATTACCTCTCTTATGTGAGAAACTCCCTATTTCTTCCAAGCTTCATTATTCACTCTCTTGAACTCTTATTGGGTGGCATATGGCCTTCATTTGTCCTGTATCTTTGCACTGTTTTACATAATTTACTTGCTTATCAATAAGTCCAGTGAGGCAGGAACCACTTGGTATTTTTAGTAGCTTAATCAGTGTCTTAAACATGCTTAATATACTAATAATTAGTTGATATGATTTTTAGCTACTAGTTTAATTAAAAGAACTCTATAAAATAATTTCTACTAAAAATGCTACCTGAAGTTCTCTTCCTGTAACTGTTCTAGTTGTAATTGTGCATGAAAATACTTCTTTGCAACCATCGTATTTGGATCATCAAAAGAGCCATCCAACTGGTCAAGTTTTTCATTCATCATCTCATTCTCAGAAACCAGTGAATTCTTCTCATCTTGAAGTGCAGTCACCTAACAAACAAATACAGAAATATAAGCAGCAATAACAACAACAACAAAACTCACAGAATTGGGAGTTCTTGATTCTAATTCTGACAAGGTCATGAAACAGCTTGACTAATCAGATTAGATGATTTCTAAGAATACTTTCAACTCTGAAATTCTGAGTCTAGGAAGTTTGGGAAAAACAAAGAAATCAAATTAGTACACATATGCAGTATACAGTAAGGATTCTTTTAGAATATTATACCTGTCTCAGTTTTGGAAATAAAATGTTTCTAAATCTCTAAAATTTAATACGTGAATCCAACTTCAAAACATTAATCTGTCCCTTTTTTAAGTCAAAATTAACTTTCAAAATGCTTTCACCTATGCAAAGTTATCATCTGGGGTTCATAGTGAAAAATAATCAATCACATATCACATATTCAGGAAACAAGTATATTTGGTTGATGAACCAATACCAAAAAGCTTAACTGTTTCCATTTGTACAGAGACTTTGTGTTTATGATTTAAAATGAATAATAAAATGTCTAAGTGCAGAACTACAAAAATGTCAGTACCTGATACATGTTTTAAACTCCTTTAAAACAAGCATGTTTTTTTTCTCTTGGTTCTAATTCTTTTCTATTTAAAAATTTTTTACGTACAGCTATGACTTTTCATAAGCCCAGAATTTTACATACATTTTACCAAGAACTAGATGAAAAGGTGTCCCATTATCACTGACATCCATAATATTATTGGACAAGTTTGCTATTTATATTTTCAATAGGTACAACCAATTCCATAAGTGAATGAGATGACATATAGAAACAGTGAACTAAAAAGGAAATTAAATCAAGTGATTGCATTAAATACCATATAGGCAAGTTACAAACACTGTTCTCTGTTACATTATTAAAATGGAGACTAAGCCTGAAAAATCCCTCAACAGACAAAACCAGTTAGGCTTTGTAAGTGATCTAAACTTTGTTTGATTTGCAAATGTAAGTGCAACTTACCTTGAGCTATTTCTTACAAATGCTGTATTTAACAGTATTTAAGCTCAACTGATGCGAAGAACCAACAAGATTAAAATTATACAACCAGGGACTTTCAACCAAATAAGGCAACCATGTATCTATAACCTATCTTTTCTTTATTTCTGCAGTAACCCTATTACTGTCTTCCAACTGTTTCCTAAGTGGAGGGTCCAAACCACTCTGGTTTGGAGCTGCCTAATTCATGAATATAATAAACTCAATAAAACTGCATTGTACCTAAGTTCACTTTTTAATACTTCTAAATGAGAAATACAAAGGCAGGCCAGGAAACTGTCTCTAGGTGGACAATGTAAACACACAACTTTCTGTTTCTAAATTCAAAGCATGCATCCATGCTTATTATGTAAGGAATCAGTGACTATTATTTGTCGTGTATAGTTCTAAGCGATTCAGATACAAATAAAAGAGTTTCTGAACAGACACTTCTCAGAGGAGGACATACAATCAATCAACAAGTACATGAAAAAATGCTCACCATCTCTAGCAGTCAGAGAAATGCAAATCAAAACCACCCTAAGATACCATCTCACTCCAGTAAGATTGGCAGCCATTATGAAGTCAAACAACAACAAGTGCTGGCGAGGATGTGGGGAAAAGGGTACTCTTGTACATTGCTGGTGGGACTGCAAATTGGTGCGGCCAATTTAGAAAGCAGTATGGAGATTCCTGGGAAAGCTGGGAATGGAACCACCATTTGACCCAGCTATTGCCCTTCTCGGACTATTCCCTGAAGACCTTAAAAGAGCATACTACAGGGATACTGCCACATCGATGTTCATAGCAACACAATTCACAATAGCTAGACTGTGGAACCAACCCAGATGCCCTTCAATAGATGAATGGATAAAAAAAAATGTGGCATTTATACACAATGGAGTATTACTCTGCACTAAAAAATGACAAAATCATGGAATTTGCAGGGAAATGGATGGCATTAGGGCAGATTATGCTAAGTGAAGCTAGCCAATCTCTAAAAAAACAAATGCCAAATGTCTTCTTTGATATAATGAGAGCAACTAAGAACAGAGCAGGGAGGAAGAGCAGGAGGAAAAGATTAACATTAAACAGAGACATGAGGTGGGAGGGAAAGGGAGAGAAAAGGGAAACTGCATGGAAATGGAAGGAGACCCTCATTGTTACACAAAATTACATATAAGAGGTTGTGAGGGGAATGGGAAAAAAACAAGGAGAGAAATGAATTACAGTAGATGGGGTAGAGAGAGAAGATGGGAGGGGAGGGGAGGGGGGATAGTAGAGGATAGCAAAGTAGCAGAATACAACAGTTACTAATATGGCATTATGTAAAAATGTGGATGTGTAACCGATGTAATTCTGCAATCTGTATTTGGGGTAAAAATGGGAGTTCATAACCCACTTGAATCTAATGTATGAAATATGATATGTCAAGAGCTTTGTAATGTTTTGAACAACCAATAAAAAATAATAATAATAATAATAATTTGATGGCATCCCACTTATTGATTCCTGGTTTTATTTTTTGTACTTTGGAGGTCTTATTAAGAAAGTCAGTGCCAACACTAATATGATGGAGTGTTGACCCTATGTTTCTCTTGTAGCCGTTGCAATGTTTCTAGTCTAATTCCTAAGTCTTTAATCCATTTTGAATTGACTTTTGTGCAGGGTGAGAGACAGGAACCTAATTTCATTTCTATATATAGTTATCCAGTTTTCCCAGCATCATATTTGTTAAAAAGGCTGTAATTTCTCCAAAATATATTTTTGGCATTTTTGTCAAGTATCAGATGGCTATAAGTATGTGGGTTTGCCTGTCTTCTATTCTGTTCCATTGGTCTTCAAGTCTACTCTGATGCCAATACCATGCTGTTTTTGTTACTATAGCTCTATGGTATAATTTCAGATAGGGTATAGCAATGCTCCCTGCATGACTTTTCTTGCTTAGTATTGTTTTGCTATTCTGGGTCTCTACTTCTTCCACATAAGGATCTTTCTTTCTAATTCTATGAAGAATGTCATTTATATTTGATGAGGATTATATTGAATCTGTATATTGCTTCTGGTACTGTGGCCATTTTGACAATATTGATTCTGCCTATCCAAGAACATGGGAGGTCTTACCATCTTCTCAAGATCTTCAATTTCTTTCTTCAGTGTGCTATAATTTCCATTGTAGGGATCTTTTACCTCATCAGTTAGATTAATTCCCAAGAATTTTATTTTATTTTGAGGTTATTGTGAACAGGATGGTTTTCCTGATTTCTTTCCTGGCTCAATCACTGGTAGAATATACAAAAACTATTCATTTATGGGTGTTGATTTTGTATCCTACATTTATAAGCTCTAGAAGTTTTCTGGTAGAGTTTTTGCTGTTCTAGATAAAGGATTATGTCATCAGCAAACAGGCAGTTTGACTTATTCTTTTCCTATTTGCATCCTTTAATTTCCTTCTAATGCCTGATTGCTCTGGCTAATGTTTTGAGAATTATATTGAATAGAAGTGATGAGAGTTAACATATTTGTCTTGTTTCTAATTTTATAGGAAATGCTTTCATTTTTTCTCCATTCAGTATGATGTTGGCTTTGGAATTACAATAACTAGTGTTTATAATGTTGAGATAATATCCTTCTACCCCTAGCTTTTCTGGTATTTTTACCATCAAGAGTGCTGAATTTTATCAAAGGTCTTTTCTGCATCTGTTGAAACGATCATGTGTTTCTTGCCCTTAATTTTGTTTAAGTGGTAAACTACATTTACTGGCTTGAGTATGTTGAGCCAACCTTGCATCCCTGGGATAAAACCCACTTGATCATGGTGCATTATCTTCTTGATTTGTTTTGAATGCAGCTTTCATAAAGGATTTCTTCATCTATGTTCATCAGGCATACTAGTCTGTAGTCTTCTTCCCTTGATGTATCTTTATCTGGTTTTGGTAATAGTATTATACTAGACTCATTGAACGTACCTGAGGTGTTCCGTCCCTTTCAATTTCATGGAATAATATGAGGAAAACTGGCATTAGTTCTTTAAAGATCTGGTAAAACTCTGCTGAGAATTCATCTGGTCCTGGGCTTTTCTTTGTTGGAAGGCTTTTAATTGCTATTTCAATTTCATTTCTTGATACTGGTCTGTTTAGGTTTTCTATATCTTCCTGGTTCAATTTGGACAGTTCATATATCTGGAAATTTGTCTTCTAGGTTTTGCAGTTTATTGGAGTATAAATTTTCTACAAAGTTTCTAATAAGCCTCTGGATTTCAGAAGTATCTGTGGTGATCTCCTTTTTCATCTACAATTTATTTTTATATGGGTCTTCTCTTTCAGTTAGTCTGGCTAAGGGTTTATCAATCTTATTTATCATTTCAAAGAACAAACTCTATGTTGTACTGATCCTGTATATTATTTTATTCTCAATTTTATTAATTTTGTCCCTGATCTTAACTGATTCCTGTCTTCTAATGATTTTGTATTAGTCTTCTTTTTAAGGTCTTGAGGGAGAACAAAGTTTGTTTATGGAGGCACTCAATGCTAGAAATTTACCTCAGAACTGCTCTTTATACTGTTTTAGAGATTTTGATACATTTTATCTCCATTCTTGTTTCTAAGATTTCTCAATTTCTACTCTCACTTCAGAGTGTTGTTCAATCTCCATGTGTTTATGTGATTTCTATTATTTTTCTTGCTGTTGACTTCTAGTTTCATTCCAGTATGCTCCAATATGATACATAGTATTATACTGATGTATTTTATTATTTGCTAAGAATGACATTATGACCTAGGATATGGTCTGTTTTTAAATAAGTTCCCTGAGCTACCAAGAAGGTAAGTCAGCTGTTTTAGGGTAATATATTTTATAGATGTCTACTAGGTTCATTTGATTTATACTTTTCTTTAGGTTGAAAATGCCTTTATTAATTTTATGTTTTGATGAACTATTGGTGAAAAATGTGTGTGAAATCACCCAATATCATTGTGTTAGGTCTATTGAGATTTAATGTCAAGGGGTTTTATTTTGTTTTATGTATTTGGGTGTGCTGACATTCAAGGCATATGTATTTACTATCATTATATTTTCTTGTTATAAAAATTGATCCCTTTACCAGAATGTAGTGGCCTTGGCTCTTCTGATTGTTTGGTTTGAAATCAGCTTTGTCAGATATGGGAATAGGTATGTATGGTGATTTTCAGACTTCATTTCTATGGAGTATTTTTTTCCATCCTTTGATCTTTAGCTTGTGAGCGTCTTTGCCCAAGTCTCTTGCAAGAAGCATATAGTTATATCTTGTTTTTTTTGATCCTTTCTGCTAATTTATGTCTTTTAATTGGGAAATTGAGACTATTAACATTCAGTTAGTACAGGTATGTGTTTGTGGTTTCCTGTCATTTTGATTTTTTGCTATATTTAATACTGCCTTGATTCTCATTTAATAGATTACTCTTCTGTTGAACTTCCTCTATTTTGGAACTTTGGGGATTTGTTTTGGGGTTCCTCTATAGGTGTAATCCTGCAGTGTAGATGATAGGCAGAACTCTAAATTTAAAGTTCTAAAAGTCAGGGTTTGGATCTGGGAAAATTTTGGAATGCTGTAGGTAGGTATTTGAGATTTGATCCATGCCCCCTATTTCTGAGGACCTGCCATTCTTGGTTGGACTTCTAAATTTCGGGTGCCTCCAGTAAAATTCTTCCTTTTAGTATCTTCCCTTTAGCTCTTATGGGGTGTGAGCAACAATGGGAGCTTTCTCTCTTGGAACCCAAAGGATGAATGGCCCAGGTAAAATTTTCTTTGTGCCTGTTAAAGACTCTCTGGTTCGAGCACCCTCTGGGAATTTTCTACTCAGCTACTGGTACTTCCTTTATGAATTCCCAGTCCCATCTCTGCTCACAGATGTACAAGCTACATACACTCACCAACATTTTCTGTGCTACAAAATGCTTCTCGCCCCTGGGGTGATCTATTTTGGATTCCCTTTCCCTAAGCTTAACCTACCAACACCATGTCCATTAAAATCAGCATTCTTCTCTAATCCACGGGTTTCCGCAAGCCAGTGTTTTTATTTTTTAATTTATCTACTTTGTTTCCTTTGTCTCCACTCCCCACTCTGCTCAGCTGCCGCCTCTGGAAACCAAACTAGTACAAATATATTATTATATTTTTTAATATATTTACAAATATATTATTATATATATATCAATTTTTGGTGCTCTATGAATTTTTTTTTACAGTTTATTATTAAGTTTCAATGAATTTCCTTAGCTACTCACCTCACTTAGAATTAGTCTTCCTACTTTGTAAGTCTTAAGTCTAGTGCTGGGAACTACAGAAGTGCTTCCTTTCTCTGATCTTCCATCTTCTCTCTCCTAACACTTAATCTTTTCTAAACATTTTTTTTTTTAGTCTTACTGCACAACTTTCATATTTGTATTTTCACAGAATAACAATAAACACAAACATAGAGATAGTTCTTCTGTGCCAGGCCCTAAGGATTATTTATATTAGTTCATTTAATCTTGAAAGCCCTTTGGGAGATAAATACTACCATGATTCCATTTCTCAAAAAGAGGACTGAAGTATAGAGAAATTAAGAAATTTGTCTGAGGACATACATCAGCTGGTAATATGGCCAGGTTCTGAAAATAGATAGCCTGGTTTGACAGTCTACCCCTTAACTACTATTGCTGCTCCTAGCAAGTTCATTTATGAGTACTAGAATTATATGTATACATATTGATATATATGTAAGCAAAACAAACTAAGCATAAGAGATTACATATGTATGTGTACATAAATAAAAGAGTGTGCACTTTAATTTATTGGGGGTACTACTAGTAAGTATTACTATAAATAGTACTATAAATACTATAAGTAATTAGCACTAATAGGTACTTCTATAAGTTATCTCATTTAATATCTAAAAACAACTATGAAGCAAATAGTGCAATTTTTCTATTTTATAAAATACACAACTGAGTCCTCATGTAAATAGCTGAAATCTCTAATTAGTAGAATGATTTTCTTAAAAATTGACCAGTGATTTTCAATTATCAGAGAAAATTATTTAAGATATTTATGTTTGAATACAAAAGTTTGTAAAAAATGCTTTTAATGTTTCTTCCATAAAATGAAACCCAACTTCTAAAACATGCTGCCAGTTAATTAACAAAGAAAGAACTGTGCTCTGATCAGATTTCTTGTCCATACCTGCATATCTAGTTCTTGGCATCTTTGTTTCAGCTCTTCTTTCTCTGCTAGTGCCTCCTGAAGTTCTTCCAAGGCCCTTTTAAGCTGAAATATGAATCCAAATTCTTAGGAAATCATGTTTAACAAAAATAGAAAAAAATATTCTTACAACATAAGCACACTGATACTAGAAATGCTTTGTTTTTTTTTTAAATTTACTCAATTTTGCCGTCTCTGTGTAAATAATACACAGTCACATCAACATTTAAAGTTGAAATCCCACAGAATAAAATTTTGTGTAAATCCTTGGGAAATATTTAAAAATTTTAAGGAGGTATTTTTTTAATTCTGTAACAGAAAGAACAAAGTATATTTACATTTAAACAAAAATTTTATCAAATAATTAAATTTGAAATGTTTCATGAAATGACTAGCAATGTTATAATAGATAAATAAAAATAAACAAATGTCTAAAGATGTATTTGCCCCTTCTCTTACCCATTGGGTTACACATGAAAAGAGAATAGGGCATTTTTCTCATGTATACTGTCTTGTAACAAAACCTGAAGTCTTCAAGGTATTTCTTCAATATGAGGAAAGTGGATAGAAAGAGTGACAAAAATTATACTACCTTATTATTCAAACTATAATTAAGCCTTAGCAGAAGTTTTTAGATTGTGTACTATTTAATTATACCACCATCTAGCATGAGCCAAATGTGCATTACAAATGTCAGAAGGAATGAATATTCAATAACACTCAACTCTTATAAAATGATCAGAAAAAAATCTAGAGACCATTACTATTCACATTCATGAAGGAATTTATTAGAATATTTAGTTTGGATCTTTATGCAAGTACATTATTTGTCCACTAATGTATATGAGCATATAAATACATAAAAACTATGTTCCGTGAAAAAATATTTTTATAACATGCTTTCCTACATAAATCTTATGGAAATAATTGGGAAAGAACTTGTATCACTGAACATTTTCCTCATGTGCTAAAATACTCACCTGTTGTTCTAATTCTCCAATAGCATCATTTGTAGGAGAGTTCATTATTTCTTTACTCATCAACTAGAAAATTAAAATAGCAAAAATAAGTACAATAATATAATATTTTAAAGGAAAATATATAAAAGGAAAGTAAAATGATTCTTATTTAGCTTTTTTCCCTTTAATTTGCAGATCCTTAGAACACTATCCAAATAAAAATTTTATTAGAGAGCTAATTAAATAATAATGTTCAAGAATATTAATGAGGATATTAAGAACAAATTGTGTTTGAAATATGTAGACATATTCAAAATATTTGTGTAATAAAAAATTACAAGTTCCAAAATTGCTGAATAAGATTGAACACATTAACTGAACAATAACTTTTGAAAATCAATTTTTATTTTATTTTATTTTATAAATTTTATTTTATAAATTGACACTTTTAAAATACAACCTTTAAATGAGTAATATGGCAAAATTCTTAATTTTAGAAGTCATTTTAAAAGTAAAGAAGGGTCCTCTAAAAGTACCTTTTTTGCACATGCAAGGCAGACTTATTTATGCAAACTCTGACTATATGGAGGCTACTGAAGCCCTGGGTGATATCTTCCCCTAGATTAAGCCCCTTCCAAAGTGTGTTTTTCTTCTATTTTCTCTCTAATCTCCTTTGCACTCCACCTTATCTGTGCCTTTTAGCCTGATAAAGAATAAACACTGGACCCATGAATCCTGAATTTTTTGCCTCTCCTGAGATAATCAGGATCACTTAATTCCTTGGCTACTTGGCTCCAAAACTTGAATACTACCATATTTGCTCATGAATCTAATATTCTCAAACTACAGATGGTATACATGAACTACAATGTCAGGAAAATAATTAAAATTAAGGTTGCTTCTCCTGGAAGTTATTTAAAAGACCCTGACAACATTAATTTATAAACCAGCTTTTAGAATCAGATATGCTAAAATTAGGCTTAAGGTCTTTTATGATATTTTGGGAGAAAAACTAAGAAGACTAAGTAAACCCACTGGAAAGGGTGAGTTTATAAAAGAAAAAATACAAACACCCGCAAAATTTATAACTTTTATATAACACAGTTCAAGATTTTTATACTTACGTGAATATGATATAACTTACCTCTTGAATAGCAGTCATGACCACATGTTGAACAGACTCTTCAAGTGTCATTATATTTTTAATATGTTCTATGATTTAAAAAAAATTCAATCTGAAAAAAATGTACGCTTTACCCATAGTACCTTAACATTCAACAGGATACAAAAATTCATTTACCAAAAAATCTTTTATGCAAATATGTTATTTGTCCACTAATGTATATGAGCATATAAATACTATGAATTCTATGTTCTCCAGCTAAAATGACTGCCCCCAAATTTTGATATTATTTTCTAATAAATTTACAGAAAACAAATAAGCAGAACAGAAAATGTCAATATTTTTAAATGTTTTTTTCCCATAGAATAAATTCTCAAATTTTCTTACAAGGTAAAAGGAAAAAATTATAATTAATTTCAAAATAATTTAGGCCCAGAATGTTTCATTTATCACCTATTTACTTTATTCCAGGAAGGCGTCCAACGTGACTTACACAGCCTTCTGTAAACACTTGCTCTGAAAATTTCACCACAAAGAGATCCTTTCACCTTCCCACAAATACACATGCAGTATTGTCAAGGCAATTTGTCCCAACAGGAAATGAGGAACATAAGAAAGATCCCTTAATATATCTGCAGTTTTAAATTCACTTCAAATATATGTCCTCCAGCTAAAACAACTACTCTAAAACTTTAAAGACTTGTTATTTTCTAATACTTATGTTTGCTTTAACGATTCTTCTGGGAAACTTCTAAAAGTCCTCCAAATCTTCTTATCATTTGTGAATCCAAGATTTGAATAGAGTCTGATAAGTCTTGGTATGCACCTGACCACTAAATGCTAAGGGGCATGCACAGACCATGGAATTATATCTTGTCCATGGATTTTCTACATAATGGATTGTTTCAAGTCTGCTGAAATCTTCATAAAAATAATCCCCTTTCCCATCAAGAAGAGAATTTTTAACCAAACCAGTTCATTCTTTTAAGATTGACATTGTTGTAACACCTTGGAATCATTTTGAAAATAACGTCTCATGTCAAAAGTACAAAAGTGTGGAGGATGTTTTATAACCTGGATGTGATTTGTTTTTAAATTTTAGTCTAATGACTAATAGATTTTTCATTCATTTGCTCACACTTAAAAAGAGAATTCAGACATTTTCAAAACTAAATCCAATTAGATGCTTAGATAATCCTGGTTTTTTAATAACAAAATGGAGCTATTTCTTTATATTTACTACCTATTAAACTTTCATCCGTATATCCAGATACTGAATTTCCTTTTAAAAATATGAAGACAAAATTGCTCAGTGGTACTTAGAACTACATTATAACATTCTACATATTTTATTGAACTTTGCAGGATGCAACAAAATCATCATTTTCAGGAAAAATTACAGCCTAAGTATCAATTACTGGAGTTATACATGAATTACTACTTGTCAGAATGTGACTAAATATTCTGGAAAGTTTTAAAATTCCATAAACAAATATCCCTCAATTTTATGAAAATATCCAATAAGAGATCTTTTGACATTTTTCATGGGGAATAAAAGTCTATAAATAAGTACTTACTTGCCCCCCCAAAAAGTACTTTAATGATAAAGAGGAATATGAAAAGATATAAAGAGATGCAACTTAATATAAGTTTTCTGATATCTTATCTTTTTTTAAGTTGATAAACTACCATTGATTACATGTCATTTTCTTTTACCCTTTATGAGTTAATTCTTATTGAAACTACTGTTTTGTATCCTTCCTTCATCAGTTAGATGATGTTGAATGTGGTTTCTAAAATCTTGAAGTATTTTTACAAAATTAAGCAACCAAAATTCTTCAATAAAGGTGGCATATTAAGACCAAGTTTATATTAAATCATGAAAAAAAAAATCAGCATCAAAATTGTCACCACCCAGATTGACACAGGGGAAGAGATTTGGGTCTCCTCAGTTCATCATTTTATTCATTTCATGTAACCATAAGTGATATTTTTGTACTCAGCAGGATATGGACCACTATGTTTGAACATACAAATATAACACACCAATTTCATTATATTATCAGACTGCTTATCATGATACACTGGACAGGTATTCTTCTAAAAAAAACAGGAGAACAGTATCTGAAGAAGCTTGGATTATAATTTAGTAACTGAATATTTATTTATGAAAAACTAAATCAACCTCAGGTTCTTACGTACAATATAAACTACTGGATGAATAAGTACAATTCACTGAATATCTACTTAAATTCTAAGAACTGGATTAATTAAACCAAGCACTAGATACTTAAACCATCTTATGCTAAGATACATTTAATTTAGCCACTGAATATCAGAATCCAGGTACATTTAGGACACTCAAGATATGTAGCTTTTCAATGGCAGAGAAGGGCTAGATTTCAGATCTCAATTTTACATTTCAAGGTGCTTTCAGCCAAAATTAAATAGTAAAGTTAAATGCAACCTTGTAAATGCTGGCAACAGAAGTAGTTTTTTAAAAGTAGAATTCCTCAGTTGACTGAATTTTACTTACCTTGCTTCTTTTCACAGTTTACCGCACAACCTAAAATAAGCTGTAGCAACCTCCCAAGCTCCACGGAATTCGAACATTCAGTTATTTGGTTTAAATCGGGAATAAGTTCTTCAGAAATCTGCTGCCCCAAAAACTGTAGAATCAAAATAATACAACATATCACTCACTTATGTAGGCTACAAATAGTTTACTACATTTAACTATTAAAAGGAAAATTAATTATAATTAGGTTTATGAAACAACTCAGATAAATTAACAAATGCCAAATCAATAATTACTTATCAAAACCAGTTGGCAAAATTAAGTCAAAACTGTTGATCATTAAGCAATAAATTCTATTTGAAAAAATAATTTAAATAGCATCAACAAAGTAAGTGTTTTTTGCGAATACAACATATTTAGACTTTAAACCTAATAATTTTCACAAAATTTGAGTTCTCTAAAAATGGCAATATTTTGATTGTGAATTATGATAAAATATTACAAATAAAAAGCCAAGCCATTTCTCAGGGTCAATATAATTATCACATAGCATTTTGTATTTGAAGGCAGATCTTTTTCATACCTCATGGTAGTAACTCATAATTCCTTGAAGTACTTTCTTTAAGTTACTAGCCTAAAGTGACAAGAAACAAAAAAGAATATGAAATAAATTTTTTTCATATTAATAATGAAAGAAAACCTATGCCAAGGTGAAAGACAATAAAACTTTCCCCTGATAAAAAAATCGTGGTACAGTTCTTTACCAAGAAATTACAAAAATACAATGTGCAATAAACCTAATAGAAATTCAAAATGTATAATATAAAAATAAAAAGAATTTTTTTAAAAAATAGACAAAATCACAATCAACTTTAGAGATTTAAGGACTCCTTTCTATGTAACTGATAAAATAATTAAACAAAAAATAAAGATATAAAATATACACAAAAGTATCAACAATTTTGATGTAATCCACATTCATGGAACAACTTAAAAAACACACATTGTTTTCAAGTGCATATTAAACATTTACCAATAGTTAGGTTATAATGTAAGTCCCAGTAAATGTAAAAAAAATTTCTTGCATTGATGCAGGTATGTTCCCAGAGAAAAATGGAATTAAATTAGAACTCAATCAATTTTAAAAAAAGGTATTTAGAATTTGAACTACCTACTTCTAATTTACCCATAGGTTAAAAGAGAAATCACAAGGGAAATTACCAAATATTTTAGACTGAATGAAAATCAGAACATAGTATATTAAAATGCATAAGATGTGGCTTAAGCAATATTTAGTATTGGGGTGGGGAAAAGGCCTAAAATTTAATACTTAAGCTTCCACTTTACAAAGCAAGAAAAAAGAAGAACATATGTTAAGTAAAAGAAAGGAAATAAGAAAGATCAAATAGAAAATGAATTAAATAGAAAACAGTTATTTGAAAAAACAAAACTGAAAAACGTTAAGACATTAAGGAGAAAATTTTTAAAACATACTAATTTTAGCAAAGAAAGATCATACATCACTTAAAGATCATGGTCATTAGCATATTATTAGCATAATAGTTAGGAACAGTTTTTTGAGGGGTGGGGGATAGCCACTGAGCTATACATACATATAAAAGACCAAGCTATACCACTAAAATAAAAATATAAAGCTAAAGATTAAAATGTTACATTCCCAATTACATTCCCAATCCTGTTACTTTTTTTTTTTAATTTTGAGACAGTCTCACTAAGTTGCTGAGGCTAGTCTTGAGCTTGCAATCCTCCTGTCTTAGCCTCCCAACTTGCTGGGATTACAGGTGCGTGCCACCATGCCCAGCTTGTTTAAAACAATTATATGCCAACAAATAAAACAATTTATATGAAACATACACCCTATAAGACACAAAACTGAGAAAAGAAAAATGGTTTTTAAAATAGAAAATCATTTTTTCAGTTTCTACTAAGATTAAATATACTTATAAAATTTAGCAATTCCACTCAAGAATTTTCCCAAGAAAAATTAAAATATTTTAAGCAAAGACTAATATGTGAATATTCACTGCAGTTATAATCTTAATAGCTAAAATCCCAAACAATTCAAACATCCATCAACAGGTGAAGAGCTAAATAAACTGTGATGATATCAAAGTAAAAAAATAGTATACACACACACACACAAAAACTAATATAGGCAATATGAACGAGGGAATGAATCTCAAAAACATAATGAGTCAAAGAAACCAGGCACAAATAGTACACATTCTATGGTTACATTTATGTGGAATTCTAGAAATGAAATCTATAGTTTCAAAAGCAGATAGCAGATCTGTAGCTATCTGGGGCCAGACATAGGGTAAGGAGGTGAAGATTAAGTGGGAAGAAATCTAAGTGCATATTTTTATTTAATCAAAATGCTCTATATTTAATTATGATGATAGTTACATGACAGCATATGTGTGTCCAAAATTCAAGCTATAAACAATAAAATGCACTCACAAGTTAACTTTTTAAAAAGGATTTAGTCAAGTTTTGTGCAAATTTTAGGACCACCATTTAGAATAAGGTGTTACTCCCATTTATTCTTCATACCTTTATTCTCCAGTTGTCCCCAACATCCTCTTTAATTCGGCTTAACCAAGATTCATTGAACCAAGCTATATCACTAAAACAAAAATATAAAAGCTAAAGGTTAAAATGCTTTTATTACATGAAAAATACCAAACTGATCAACAGAGAACTTAACTTTACAGCTTAAAATTTATCCTTCATGAGATTAGGAAAGGTTTAAATGAACCCAAGAAATTTTCTGTGATTCTAAAGAATTTCATTTGGAACTACTCACACTAAATTATTTAAGTCATTGACACCTTAAATTTGATAAACATGTACTAAACATTTTATACGAGGCCCTGCTAACAGGAAGGTCTAAAATACCGCCCATGAAGGGGTAAAAAGAAAATCAACATTTTAATGAGTGAGTACTACGTATTAAGCACTGTGCTTGATGTTCTTCCATGTTATTTTATTCAAACATCACAGTAACTTGGCAAAGGATATATTATTTTTCTCAGTCTTCCTATTCAGGGAATTGAGAACGAGAGAGGGAAAGTAATTTGCCATAGGTGACTAGTATATAGTGAAACACAAAATGAAGCTATTTGAGTGAAAAAGGAATAAAATGAATTTAACTGAGGAATCTACAAACAAATTTAGCTTTAATTAGGAGTAAAGTTATGCATTGATATTGAACGTAAAGACAAATAATTGCTATGCAAAAACTATATATTTAATAAGGTTTTAAAGAAAACATTTGACTGTATATAATGAACTATATGTAATTATATTAACAGATTACATTCTAGACAAATATTTGGATCCTTGTTCTGAGCAAAGAGATGAGGGAGATTAATATGAAAATGAATAATTTACTATTTTGACTCAGAAATAATAGCTATTAATGGAAGAAAATAAAGAGCACAAATAATTATACTCAAGGAAGAATAAGATAAAGCCTCTAACAGTTTAAGCTATAATATCACAGAATGTTAGTGCTAAAGAGATCTTAAAAGTCTCATCTAAATTTTTACTTGATGGATGGTTTAGCTATAATATGAGGGGAAAAAAAAGAGGTTCTTTCCCAAAGTTTGTCTTAAATTTCAATATGCAAAACTGAAAACTTTTAACACTGTGCTTAGCCTTTCTGAAATCATTCTGCTTTATATGTTCTAGTAGAGAACGTACCACTTTCATGCAGTAAATAAAAAAATGGCTTCGCCATTTTCACCTCATTCATTTGGAATTTGTAACTATTTTCTTTTGAGTAAATTTATGTTAGTTTTAATCAACTTTTTCCAAATGCCAAAACTACAATTACCAAAACAGCTTAGCTAAAAATAAAATTATGAACTGCTAACCAGGTATTTATTTGAAATGACTAAATTTAATGAATCATATTATTATTTTCCTTTTCATTAGACTAAGTAATAAAAAAGTCCTAGAAAAAAAGACCAGCTGTAATGAACAATTTTATGTGTTAACTTGGCTGGACCACCATACTCAGAAATTTGGTCAATCTTTGATGATGTGATTTATTTTTCAGATAAGACTAACATTTAAAATCAGTAGACTGAGTAAAGCATATTACTCTCCATAATTTAAGTGGGTCTTATCCAATCAGTGGAGGGTCTCAAGAAACACTTCAAGACAGAGCAAATTCTGCCAGCAGACTGACTAATGACTCTGGCTGTTCTTCTCCAGGTCTCCAGTCTGCTGATTTACCGCACAGATTTTGGACATGCAAGTCTTTGCAAAAGCATGAGCCAATCCCTTAAAATAAATATTTGTGTATGTGTTTGTTTGTATATACTCATGCACATGCACACAGACATCTACCTCATTGGTCCTGCTTCTCTGTAGAACCCTGACTATAAAACTCTTTCTCTCTCTCTCTCTCTCTCTCTCTCACTCACACACACACACACACACACACACACACACACACACACACACACAGATATCTAAGTATATGATTTTACGCTGTAATTAGTTTTAGAAATTGAACTTAAAGATTATCTATTCTTGTTATCTAACTTTTTCAAAATAATCATCCTTTTATCTTACATTTTTCCATATCCTTTCCATTCCAAATCAACTCTATCCCTGAGAAATACTTTCAAATTTCTCCATAAGAATAAATTTCCTACTTTCTTTCTTATAAGCAAATTCACACCTTTTCAAACAATTATGATGGCAGCCACTATGAAACTTGATATTCAACCTCAGAAATCTTTGGAAATAACTGATATAACTTTTCTTTTCTCCTCCTCCTTTTTTTTTTTTTTTGCTTTGCCACATCTGTATACCTCTGGTCCCCCCAACAATGAACTGCTTTTCTTATATTTCTTAGAACTTCAAAGCCTCTCAAGGAACACCAAATAAGAAAGGGAATAAATGACTAAGTAAAATGTAATCCAGTTATTTTCTAATAAAACTGTTAAAAAAAAACACTACATAATTTTTTAACTCCACCCACGATATTTGTCTTCAACAATTTTATTAACTAAATTCAGATAGTAATTAATATCTAACTGGTTACTATAAATAATAGTTGTGTCCCTAAATGAATACCCTGAGACTATTTTTTCTTCAATAATCAAAAAACCTTCTGTGATTATCAATACAGCAAAATGTGATCTGTATTTTGGACACACACATATGAACTTTCATTTTGTTAATACTCCAAATTAAAAACCTATCAAAAGGGGTTCAAGATACTTAATATCAAGTATTGAAGCTGATTAAGAGCAATGATTTTGGAGTCCAACCAAACTGAACAAATCCTAGCTTTGCAGATTTTCTCATTATTTGACTTTCCAAAATTCAACGACACTTCTCTACACCTATGTTGTCTTGTATAAGCTGAGGATACAAAAATAATATCTACCCCATAGAATACTAAAAGTTTAATGAACTAATCTATCTAATGGGGTATATAATGATGTATTTAGTAATTACTAAGATTTGGTTATCACGTTGTATCAAATTAAATGCTCAAATATTTTCTGAATGAACAAATAAATGCATGATGCTTAAGGTTTTTAAATATTAAACATTCTTTTTCACTCCTCTCTCTTGCAAAAAAATATCCAAAGACAACAGTAACAAGCATAGAGGTTATCTGGTTCCTTAAGTGAAAAACTAAGCCGTTCTTTTGGGGAAGTGGCTTGCATTCTTCACACTTCTTGGAAGTAGTACCATGTCCCCCAAAAAGATGTTTAAGTTCTAACCTCTGGTATCTGTGAACATGACCTTATATGAAAATAGCTTCTTCAAAGGTATAATCAAGCTAATTGAAATCATGATGAATTTGGATGGGTCCCAAACCAATATGACAGTTGCTCTTATGAGAGAAGAGACACAAATGCAGGCATGGTGGGAAGATGGCTACGTGAAGACAGAGCAGAGGTTGAAGTTATGCTGTCACCAACCAAGGAATGCCTGAGACTACCAGAAGCTGGACTGGAAGGAAAGATCTGCTAGAGGCTTTTCAGGGAGCATGGCCCAGCCAATACTTTTAGTCCTTTAAGGTTCTAGAACTATGTAAGAATTAATTTTGGTTATTGTTGTTTTGCTTTTTTGTTGTTCTTGTTGATTTTTTTTTTAATTTTGGTTGTTTTAAGACACCCCGTCTGTGGTACTTTGTTATGGCAGCCGTAAAAAAACTAATAACACTGTAGTTACAGTTTTTCTTCACATGTTTTTTAAATAACAGAAGCTTCGACAGGCATTTTTAAAAGATAGATACTTACTATATATTCAAACTCAGGATAATAATTAAGAAGCTGAAGAACCCTAGTAACAACTCCCTGACTCCCCATACCTAAGTCTTAATAGCCTGAACACCACTTTTCAAGAGTTTATTATTTAGAAGCATATCTATATATAATAATATCTATCTAATATGCCTAAAGGCTCACCATAAATAATTATCTATGATTTTGCTACATCTTTAAAAAGCAGAATTTCTCTTCTCACTTTCAGTAACAACCTTTACTGTGATTTGATGAGTCACCAATAACATTTGTTACAAATTGTAAAATATAAAGTACTTTGCAATGTTCAAAGAAATATTATAAAATTAGCCCTCTGAACAGGGATATTGATACTGTGATCCAACCAAGGGAAGATGTATGCTTTAAGTCTCACTACTCAGCATTCAGGCTTCTGAAAAGCTCCAAAATGGAAAGGGGTATAAAATATCCCCTGAATGATAAGGCTTAGACATGTAACATATAAAAACAGGTAAAAAAAAAAAAAAGCAAAAACAAACAAAGAGGTCAAAGAGGCATATACATCAAATCATGGTTAAAAAAAAATAGGTCTCTTCTATTATTTCATGGCATAAATCTAATAGAGCTATCAAAATCTTCCAATAATACAGAAATGACATCTTTGGGGGCTGGGGTTGTAGCTCAGTGGTTGAGCGCTTGCCTCCCATGTGTGAGGCACTGGGTTTGATCCTCAGCACCATATAAAAATAAATAAATAAATGAAACAAAGATAATGTGTCCATCTACAACTAACGAAAGAAAGAAAGAAAGGAAGGAAGGAAGGAAGAAAGGATTTCTTTGGATGGCACTGTGGAAATAACACTAGTCTTACGTTCATACCAACCACAATATATCACACAAAGAGGAATCAAGGTGTATATTCTAACAACAAAAAACAATGATGATTTTCCAAAATCATCAAGAAAGGACCATGTTGAGATTGTTGACTCTGACCAGTTAAATAATTTTGAAATCAATCAGGATGTAAATAAAATATTTAAGAAATATTTTGCAGGAGAGGTAAGACATATTCTATAATGACTGCTACTCTCTTTCCATTGCCCAAAATGTTAAGTATTTTTCTTTCAAAATGTTTATTTGGGGTTAACTCTAAAATCTGTATGTTCACATAAGATTATTCTGAAGATTCCAAATAACTAGGATTTTAATATCATTTAAGTAAGTTGCTTTTCTGAGAAAGGCAAGAGTTTTTGCAAACCCAATAATGTGAATTACAGCAAACCTTTATAAGATGGTAGTAATGATTAAATAAACAATAACTGACAATAAAACAATACAGCAGAGATAGAATTCTGGTCTCAAAGTAAGCTAATATAAAGTCATCATGTTCATCAATTAATAAATTATGAGTACAGAATTGATCCTATCTGTCCTAGTAAGAGTAGAGTTCAATCTATACACTGAAACCCTTATGTTTGGCAAATATTAGGAAATTTTGATATAATTATATAAGTGGATCTAGTTCACACAGAATCACTTTATTAGTTGAGGATGCCCAACATCTGTGACTTCAGATTTCACTCATACATTATTTTACTATTGAAATAAAAATAAAAACTCAGAAATAAATAAAAAATATTAATAAAAACTCATTGTTCATAGATTTTAAATATTTTTAAATACAGTATTTTATGTTTCAGTAATCTCTATGATAACAATTTCCATAAACTGAAACTTTAAAATGTTAATATCACATTAAGAAATATCATAAGCAAATATATCATTAGTTTAGTCTTTTTCTTTTATAGTTATTATTAATTTGCAAACATGTCCAGAACAAATGTAAAATAAGATCTCTTGAATAAAGAATGTTAATCATTTATTTAGTTAAGATGTATCTCCATGAACAAGCAAGAAGTAAACTGTTCAAAATGTTTAAGAAATAAACTTTTCAAACCTGGCACACTGTTCTCTGGTTTTAAGGATTCCTTGGTACCATAGGTCTGAATACATCATCAAACAGGATAAAATTTCAATAACCTTTAGAATAAGTCTAGGTGTTTGCTCTTCCTTAGTATTGGGTTTCCAATTCTTTTCAGGCAAAGTTTGATCACTACTCACATTTGATGAAGAACTTGTGCCATGGCAACTCCATTAGTCAGCTGTTTAACATCTTGACAAGGCGAGGCAGTCTTGAATGTCTGCAGCTAAAATGACATAAAGCAAATGACATTACTGCTTCATTATCCCTAAAGAATATTATTATAGAATAAACAGAAAACAGCTAAAAATTGTCTTTTTTATTTAAAAACATACCCTGCCAATCAAATGAAGCTACATTAATAGATTTCTGTGGGTATATAATATTTTTATAAATATAAACACTTAACATTTCATAAAATCATGCCTAATATAGTAAAGGATGCATTCACGCCATGTGTAGGTAATTCAGAGCTTCTGAATAATACAAAGCCGGTTATACAACTCTAGTCTTTAATCTATTTTCAGGAGAATATCAGAAAAAGAACTTTTAAGATAACACAACACTCATGAGTTAAAAACTTTACTCATATCATTTGATAGGAAAACATAGGCTAGAAATGTCAAGCCTAAAACTATTTACAGTTTATTCATAAACTCTGAAATAAAATAGGACTTCTTATTATTATCAATAATTAGCATTATAGCATGAGGGATCAAGGGCCCATCCACCATGACAAGTTTTTCCATCCAGTTTGGTTTTAGATATGACTAACTTTTCAAATGTATTAACTTTTCTGTGTACTAAACGTTAATACACATATTAAAAAGGGAAGTAGAATGATGACTTTTTTTCACAAAAGCAAATACAAGATAGAAAAATATTCAGAAAGCAATTTATAACAAAGCTAAGATGGATAATATGCTTTCTAGAAATCTAATCATATTATGAAACTTTTCTCCACACACATTCATCTCCTTCACTATTCACTTGTAATTTCCTAAGTTTACCAATTTAACTACTATAAACCAACAGAATTCTCTCCCACCATAATTCACCAAAAGAGGCTCTAAGTATTCTGAGGTTCTACAAGTCTGTCTCTATTACTCTAATACAATAACACAAGCAGATAAAAGACAGCCACAGTTACTTTCAAAGTACACAGAGACACTTTACTGAGTTTCTACTCTATATGAGATACTGTTGTACAGGATGGGGTTACAAAAGAAAAATCACCCTTTTCTACACTTAAAGTAGTTTCAGTCAAGAGTTAAGGTGAGAAGGAAAAGATGGAAATAATTTTCAGATAATGTTTCATGATTTCAGTATACACAAAATGTTTTGAAATAAAACAAAAGTAAACTAATCTAATTAGGGTCTGCATTTAGAAAAGACTTCTTAGAGAAGATTCATAATGGAAGGACATGAGGACTGAATACAATATTTTCTAAGTAAAGAAAGGGCTTCAGGAAGGAGCTTTAGGAAGTAGGAATATAATAAAACCATAGATACATGAGAAGCAATGATATTTTTAGGGAACATGTATTTGTAGTACAAAGGAGGATAGAAATGGGCAATGATCAAAGGGTTAAAGAAACAGCAGAAGTCAGGATGCAAGAGGGTCATGATAAGAAACTTGGGACTTATTTTATCCTTAGTTGCATCATCTAATAGTTTCTCTCACAAGATGGTTGGTAAAATTAAATGAAATAGCAAACATACTTAGATATTGGCTAGCACAAATAATAAGCTCATAGCTGTTAGTGCACTTAGGTGTGAGTTAGGGTTTCTTAAAGTGTGGGGGTCTAGGACAAATATTTATCAGAATCTATAGACATATTAAATCAGATGATTCCTAAGTGATTCTTATGCATGTCAATTTTTGAAAACATTCTCTAGTTGATAAAAAATAATTGAGAGTACTAAGGAAGACAGTGACATCTTTTATATATTTTGGAGAACTATCATAGTAACTCAAAGCAGCTTTATTCTCTGGTCAAGGAGATCAGTTCCTGCAACGGTCCTGTTAATAAAATGGAGAGCAATGGCATAAAGAAATAAGTGTAATGTTGACTTAGAGAAAGAGGGAACAGGATGAATACATGAAACATCTGCTACATAAAATCAGAAAAATTTTGCAACAGAGTAATCTATCATGAAAATAACCCACAGGACTTAAGGCATCTTTAAACGGAAAATAAACCATAGCTCCCATTTTTCAACTTTCCTACTTACACACTAGCTTTTAATTGTAAATTAAAACTCAAATCATTAACTTTTTACAAAATATATATGATTCATGATTTTAAAAGGACAATTTCAGAGGCACAGAATATTAGGCAAAATAGTAAAGAGATATATGAATGAAATATAAATGCTAAGGAGTTGCCTCCTTGCCCTCTATGTTTAGATTAAAATCAGTTTCTCTGCCTTATTGCCATGAACACTGGGGTGTCTCCTGGAAGTTCTGAAAATAGCTGCAAAGTAAGTAAATAACAGAGAATATAATTTCATTTGGCTAAATTGAAAGACTTTATAATGAAGAATAGTGAATGAATTTAAACGTGCAGTGGGTGGAGTAAGGCCAAAGCAGAGGGACAAAAGAGAATGCATCTTTTTCACAGGACTCTTCACAGGGGTAAAGAAGCAAAAGTCTCTTTAGTGAGTGACCCAAAAAGGACAGAGTAGGCTTCCACAGGTATCCATCATAAAATACAGCATTCTAGCAAATAACTACCTTGCTTTCTTTGATATTTCCAAATAAAGCAAATAATAAGAAATGTGAAAATAATGTGAATTATTGTTCCTGAGCTGCTTTAATATAAACATCCCAGAAACTGAGTTTTCACAATTGACAGCCAAGAAAAGCTCAATCTTAAATCAACTTTGTCTTCATATTTTCCTCCTTTAACTACTCATTTCAGCAAGATTGCTTAGTAATCTACTTATTTTGCACACTTTCCCCCCCCCTTCATCTGCTTGACAAAATGTACAAGAACCAAGAGAATCATTTGAAACATGTGGTCCAATGCCCTACTATTACTGGTGAAAGTAAAGCCCAAATACAAGAAATAAATTTCCAACATCACAGAAATAATGTTTTGAAATAAAACAAAAGTAAACTAATCTAATTAGTTTACTAATTAGCAAAATCAAAGTCAACTTCGTGCAAATACTTCTTCAAACTCACACATTCCTTCCATTATGCAAATAACGCCCACATTTATTCTTTATCCCTGAATTTTCTGCTAAGCAGCAGTACATTTCTAAGAAACATTTCAAGAAGAGTTCCAAATCATAAAATACAACCCTTCAAAAATTATCAAAAGAGGCACCCCTTTGCCTAACCAAATTTTCTTGATGATTTCTCTGATTCTATTAACATTAGCTCCACTGCTCTAGTACTAAAAGAATGGTTACTCCCAATGTTCTTCTCACTGTCATGATATGGTCCTATCATATGGTGTTTTTTTTTTCTTTTACTATATATATTCCAATACTTCTCCTTAACACATACCATTACTTATTAGCACATTAGGAGGTCAGGGATATCCTGACAAATGTGTATCTTCTTTTACCTCCCTTCAATTTATAGCCAAATGAGACATTACTGTTAGATGGCACTCTGTCATCTACAATTTCTTGTTTGCTTTATAATATTTTTTTCAAATTTTAAAGAATTTTGCCTTCCATTGTAATTATACACAGCTTTGCCTACTGATCCAATTAAAAATGATATATGCCTTTCTCAGAGCTTTATACTAAATAGGAAGTCAATAAATTAAAAGAATATATACAGTCACATAACAAAATATCACAATACAGTTCAAGAAAATCCTGTAGTTCACCACCTCACATTGAAGTCGATGACATCATAAAGACAAAGATTACTATTTCAGTCAGATGATGTTTAGAGCACAATGGAACAGATTAGGAAACACCCTTTAATTAGCCACTTGTTTTAATAAAACATATCATCAAAAGTAATGTTGCCTTACTTCATGACAGTCTTAAATATAGCATCCAAATCTCCTATTTTAAATGAAAACACAGATTAACCATTAGCAAACTGCTTTTAACTCAGAAACCTGAGATATATGCATTCTACTTAAAGTAAAACTTATTTACTTCCAGCATGCAATTGCTTTAAATTATAGTTATTTCCAATAGATTTGATACACTTCCAGAAATCTTTCAGATTAAGTTTAGTTTCTCTGCCTTTCAGATTTCTCAATTCTTTGGGATTACATGCATTAAAAGATGGCTAAGGAATCTCATCAACAGATTAAGGCCTCCTGGTCCAGTCTGTTTACATACCATTCTTCACATGTTCCCCTGCACACAACTGAACAATTGGTTTGGGGGTGAGCATCATCAACATCACCTTGTCAACCATCAAGCACCATCCTTGCAGAATATGGGCTAAGAACTCTACCAGGATATCAGTTCTCTGATATCTAAGCAGCTCCAAGTGGTAAGATAATTTGTTCACTGGAATGTTGTAAAATCTGGAAATAAATCCTACTTCTCGAAAGCCAGCACAACTGAACACAAATCGTAAACACGGATAAACTGCACACGGAAATGACAAATCCTTTCCTTTAAAGAAAATGCTATTTGGACGGGGAGAGGGCCCAGTGAAAAAAAAAGGGGGAAAGAGTTCCCTCTCCCAAGACAGCTTTTTCTCCACACTGGAAATAACACGGAAATATCTTTTAAGCAGCATCTAGAAAATCTAACGCCCTAGAGTCCTAAAGCAGCACCAATCCAGGAGCTAACAGCTAGCCACCTGCGTCTAACCAGAACAAGGTGGTTAGGGGTGGAGGTTGGGTTTTGGAGCAGGTCTTCACTATCAAAAGAAGGCTACCAATCAGAGGGAAGAGGAGAGTAGGTTAGCCAGAAAGTTCAGGGCTTGGGGTGGGGGTCAGGCAGGGAGCGAAAACCCAGTGGGAAGAGGTAAGGGGATGGGCAAGGCTCCTGTCAAAGCTGCCAGGGCCACCATCCAGATCGTACCCTCTGGCCAGACCCTCAGAGCTTCCTTTACCCACATCGCGGGACACAAACACACGCACCCACACACCTGCCCTGCGCCGCAGGTGGCACTCTCGAGGTCAAGGGCGACAAGCAGTGCGGAAGGCTGGGTACCTGGCCACGAGCTGATGGCCCGCGCTCCTCCACAGCTCACCTGCGGAGAGCCAGGCCCCCCGGCCCCCTCACACTCACCCAGATAATGAGGCTGTCGCAGAGCGGCAGCTCGTGCTGCGGCAGCGGCTGCGCCTCCTCCATGGCCGGGACGAAGTCGACTACGCCTCTGACTCCGATACCTCCCTCTTCCCCGGCTCCTCCCGGAGCCGGCGTCGACGACCTGCTCGCCGGCCAGGAAAGCTTGGTAGCCAGGCCCCGCGCCGCTCACGCGCGAAACCTCACGCTGCCGACGTCGCCGGCGTGACCCCCTCCCCACCGCCCCCGCCAGGCTCCCGCGTTCGCCCCCTCCCCCGTCGAGGTCCAGGCCGCGAGACTCGACACCTGAGCCCCGCCCCCCACCCCGCCCCCTCACCCTCCTTCCTGCCCGCTTCAGCACACCTCTCCTAGCCAGACTGAGTGACCTGGGTGCACACCAGTCACAAAGAAAGCAGGTACTAGGGCGGGGCGGGCAGAGTGGGCGGGGCGGGAAGAGCGGGAATAGGTTGAGCAGGAAGGGATGCTGATTGGACGTGCCCTCGTGGGCTCCGACCAATCAATGTGAGACAAGCCTGCGCCTCCAGAAGGGAGCGGGAGTGGGTAGGAAGAGGTTTGTGACCTGGCAGGTGCGGTGAGGGCGGTGCTGGAGGTTGTTCTTAGGGACCGAGAGCGCGCTTGCGCGGCGGGGATTGGCACTATTGAAGCTTCTCACAGCTCTAAGAGGCAGAAGGCCAGATGGACAGCGGGGGTGTGGGGGGTGGGCCCCAGCAGGGCTCAATCATCTTCCGGCCTCCTTCCTCTAGGTAGCTTATCTCTTGGCTACACCTATGGAGATTCACATTGCTTCCATAGTGTCTTCAGAAATAGATGTTACCCATGAATAACCCTCTCCCCCCCCCACCCCCCCAGGAAAGATGGGCGGATTTTACCCTAGAAGCGCATTGGAAAGGGAAGTTTTAATGAGAAGACGTGGCAAAGAGATGTGTTTCCTAAGCAAAAGAAAATATCTTAATGCTGCGTAAATCAGAGTTCTCACTATCACAGATCATGTGAAGTTTCATTCTAAATGGGACAAAAGGAGAGACCATTTTGAGGCAGCAAAATGAAATTGTTTTCGAAAAACGTCAGATATCTATGTACCCATTTTCCTTTGGCAATTAAACTTTTTTCTGAGAATGTTGGGGTGGGTAGTGGTAAATTTGAAGCTCTCCAAGGTACTGATAGACGGCTTAGGTTTTTGAAAGGAGCTCAAATATTCTTAGCCTTGTTGTTTGTTCTCATCACTTCACTCATTCATAAATTCATCAATTCAAGTTCTGCGTTAAAAAGCAGCTGGCTTATTTAAATTGCAGCGATTTTATATATAGGCACTGAAAATTTAAAACTGATAGATGACTGCAATTAAAAGCCCCCAAAAGTAAATCAGGCTTATTCTAAAATTACCATTCATGCATTTGCTGTTGATTTCCTTAACATTATCTCGGAACTTTTTTGATGTGTTTGGAATCACTTTATATTCTGAACATTGAGAACATTGGTATTAGGACAATGACAACTGCAAAATATAGTAATTGAATGCATGGTATAAATTGTAACCCTTTTCCACAATGGTTCCTATGGACCCCAACTTCCACATTCGTAAAATCATTGTAATTAAAATGTAAACATAGAAAAACTGTGCTCTATATGTGTAATATGAATTGTAATGCATTCCACTGTCATATATAAATAAAAAAAATTTTAAATGTAAACATATATTATAAAGGTAATGTATGTTGCAAATTGTAAACTTTGCAAAATGAGGTACTTGCATATGCATATTTATATTTAGAAGAAACCGTATATATATTTAGAAGCATATAAGAATATTTATAACATACCCACATATGATTGAAATATTCAAAAAAATTAATGAGAATTACTGAGAAGGGGCAATTTAGTAATCGTTCTAAATGTATTATATAAACAGAGTAAATACTTAGGGGAAGATGCCCAATTCTCTTCATGATATTATATTTGTTGAAAAATATACAGTGACAATCAGTGAATTCATTATAAAACAGAGAAATACAAATATTTCAAACAAATATTTAAAAGTTAGAAAAAAACAAACCCCTGAAAAGAAACGATTAAAAAAAAAAGAATGTTGAGAAGCATTAAGTACACTTTCACACACAACTGTAACTAGAATTTTAAGAAAAAAAATAAATATTTATGAAGAAACTTAAGCCATAATTCACGTTTGGTCATAAATTCCATTGAAATCAGAAATGGAATCAAAGGCTTGGAACAATAATATAAATTGCAAGTCTATTGGTAAATAGGAAAGGTTAATAATATTATAGATTAATATCTAAGAAAATAATGCTTTAGATAATTTTTGATTACTCAGGAAAGTTGTCACAATATTAAATAAAACTTTAAGAAGTCATGTGACTTCAACATTATATATACTACAAATTTAATTATGTACCCACCAAGAAGACAAAGGAATATTCATCATACTACTGTGTTATATTTATATATGAATGTGATTATTTCCATAATCTTTAAAAAAAATTAGATGTTGATGTTTATTCATTTATTTATATGCAGTGTTAAGAATCAAACGCAGTGCCTCACACAAGCGCTCCACCACTGAGCCACAATCCCAGCCCCTCCATAATCTTATATATATATATATATTTGTAACTAGCTTCTATTAATTTAGTGAAAAGGGAAAAGATATCAGAAGAAATGCCAAATAGAATATGAGCTATCATTTCTATTGTGGTTTAGAAGTGAATTATCCCCCAAAAGTTCATGTGTGAGACATGCAAGTATTTTCATAGGTAAAATGATTAGTTATGAGAGCTGTAACCTAATCAGTGGATTAATCCACTGGTATGGATTAACTATAGGCAGGTAGGGTATGACTGAAAGAGGCGGGTAACTGGGGGCATGCCTTTGGAATTTATATTTTGTGCTGCGTGAGTGGAATTACTGCTCCCTTGTTGCCATGTCCTAAGCTGCTTTCTTCTGCCACATCCTTCTGTCATGATGTTCTGCCTTACCTCAAGTCTAGAGCTATGGATTTGGCTGACCATGGACTGAACCTCTGAAATTATAAACCCAAATAATCTTTTCCTCCTCTAAATGTTCTTGTCAGGTGTTTTGGTCACAGCCACGAAACAGCTAAAAAAAAAAATCAACTATTAAATTGGCATTTGTTTTTAAAAGTTAGCATTCATGTTTTAGGAATGAAACTAATTTTGAAACACTAGTTGTGAGATTATAAACTGGCACAACTTTCTTTTTATCTTTTATTTTATGAACTTTATAGTTATGCTTAGTAGTTGGGTTCATCCCACCCAACAAACTCATATATACATGGAAATTGATTTCAGTTCATGATCTCTCACCACATATCTTCCTTACCCTTTACCATTCCTCCTATTCTACTCTGCTAGACTTTCTTTCCCTCACCCATTAATTTCTATTTGTTTGGTTCTTTTTGTTATCCTATACTTGCTTCACCATTTCCTTTATTTTACTCTGACAGCTACTCCTTCACAGTTCCCCAAACAAAAGTCCCCCAAATATTGAAGGAAAAAAAACCACATTTAAGTCTTGGTACCACTTATAGCCTGAGTGATCTTGGGAAAGTCATTTAATTTTATTACGCCTCAGTTTCAGTCTCTGTAAACTAAAATAATACTAGTATATTTCTGTGTTGCTTAGAGATTTTTTGTGGTAAGTGGGAGAAACCAAACTGCATAATAATTTTTTAAAACAATGTTATTGGAAGAATTCATTCACAAGTTCAAAGGAGGAGCTAAAGAACCCTACATGGAAAAGGGCAGGTCCCAGAGCAGCTAATTGGATCTTAATAGCAAAAACAAGGGAGTCTTTTCAGGATACCACCATATGGATGAGAATGATAAAGTGCTTTCTCGATCTTTCTGACTCATTTCTGATTCAGATTTCACAGTAAGCATCTGATAGGCCTATTTTGGGATATGTGTCCAACCATTTGCCAGAAAATGATAGAGCACCACTGGCTGCTCGACCAAGACTGCAGACTCAAGATGAAATCATGGGAGCATTGTCAGTGGAGGAGGAATAGATGCCTGCAAACAAAAACTAAAACAGTTCTCTTCACATGGCCCTGAAAGTTTATATGAGGAGCCAATGCATGTAAAATGTTTAGTGCAAATTCAAATTCAATGGATCTGAGCTGTTGCTCAATACATTTTAGCTTTAACATATATGTGTTTGTGTCTTGGGGTGTGTGTGTGTGTGTGTGTGTCTGTGTGTGTGTGTGTGTGTGTGTATGTTTGCACTCACCAAAAAAATTATAAGGTATTGGTAAGATTATTTAAAATAATCATTTGCTTAATTTTCCAAGTTTGCCACCAATATGGACACATCTTACCTTTTTAATTAAAAGAAAAACAAACTCTTTTAAAGAGAGGGGGGGGAGAGAGAGAGAGAGAGAGAGAGAGAGAGAGAGAAAGAGAAATAGATATGACCAGGATTAAATTTTAGGCTCTGAGTTGGTCTGCAATAGATAAATGGTAAAGGAGAGAATCCCTGATTTGGTACTTTAAATACAACTGTAGTAGGCTCTACTTGTAATAAAGGAATCCGTGCCTTGCACATATAAGTGGCAGAATAACAAAGATAAATCCTAAGACTTTTCCTGCTGATTTTTAGATACATGGAATGGCTGAGAGTGCACCAGCTAGATGAGTCTGCCTTGAACAGGCATGGACCTAGACACACGGATTATGTCACCACATGAACAGAGTGATCATATCATCAGCAAAAAATACAGCAAAGTGTTCCTTCCAAAGCAGATTATTGTGTATCTACACAGAGGCTCCTGACTGCTTCTCCTTCCATGGTTCTACAAATAGAAGTACTCCAATGGACTAAAAGAAGGAAGGGAAGAACAAGAGAAAAAGAAAGAACGGCAACACAGGCTGAATCTCAGCAACAGAGACAGAAGCCCGAATGATGCCAGAGCCACCACAGGGGCTGGCTTGGTTCTCCAGGTGATACCCCCACCAGTGATTGCAATCCACAATATCCAAAGAACTGTTGCTAACCCAGGCTACTTCTGGTCAACATCCATGTACACAGCAGTTGAATGCAGCAGCAAATATTTCTAGACTGTAAAGACTTTTCATAGTCTCAGAGATACTAATAGATATTAATCTCCAGGCCCCAGAGATTTATTAGCCCTAGGCAGAATTCTAGAGAAGAGAGGGTCATGGAAATT